GATATACCATCTCTGAATGCTCCACTGCATAAACCTCCCTGTAAAAATAGCTCTAGAATACCAATGATCATTCTTGCGTAGCTCCTTTTCATTTAACTGGGATTCGCTCAGGAAAACTTTCCAATAGATGGTGCACTGCATTCACTGGAAGGAAGATGAATGCCACTTGAATTTTGCAGTTCTCCAATATATGTTTGGGCTGGCTCTGACTGCTTAGCTGAATTTTTTTTTTTTTTTTAGTGCATCAGAAATTGGCTGCAGCACCTTGAGTTCAAGAACACAGCAGGATTTTACTCCAATCAACCACAATGAGCAGAACAGATGCTTAAATTAGCAGCCCGCCAGCCCATCCTGCACTGAAGATGCATTCAGGCCCCTCATCCAAGCCTTATCCATCTGGGAGCTCAGCCCCCAATAAGCAGCCTTGACGTCAGCAGCTGCTGCCTTAATGCGCTGTTGGCTGCACAGCTCTGTCTGCTGACTAGTAACACTGCGTTTCACTCCAGGATGCAGGACATCACTCAGGCAGCAAATGTGTCTGCAGCTCGCTCTTGCCAAAGTGCACAACCTGATCCTGCAATCAGCAGTTCTAGAGTGACATTCTGGTAGGTTGTCAACACTGGAGAGATCAGAATACAGACAAACATACCCACTTACCACACCATTATCAGATTGGTTCTAGAGAATGGGTGGGCAGAAGGGGGATCAGGATCTACTGCTAGTTCTTTGCTTGATGCGTAGTAGATTGGCATGGATTGAAATTCCCAATTGTTTAACAATGGCAACAAGATGATGACCCCCTCTTTCCTTGAATTATACTGCAGGAAGGAAGTGTTATGGGGTGCAGGTAATCAGGAGTGGATGTTTGTGTGGAAGGACTATGAACTCAGTTCAGTTGTATGTTGAAGAACTACAACTCCCACAGGCCAGCAAGCAAAGGCAATGGTCAGAGATGATGGGAGTTGTAGTTCAGCAATTTCAGGAGGGCCAACGCTTTCCCACACCTGAGGTTCTCAAAGCAGTTCTCAAATTCCTTGGCATAGGGTTCTTTTATTTTAAGCTTATGTTTTTTGCACCTACCTGGCTCCACTTGGTGGATCTCTGTGTTCTAGAAAAACCAAAGTGGATCCTGCAAGCCTGAAGTCTGTCTGCCCCTGCATAGAATATGCAATGCAATAATTATCCTGGTTTGGTTGTGGAGTGTTTATACACCTTCCCATTAGCCTTTCATTCATCCCACACTTTTCAGTCCATTTCTCTGACACTTTCCAAACTGCAAAAAATCTTACATTTTTTTTTAAAGTTGATTTGTTGGGCTAGGGCAACAGAGTCCTTTAATATACTTTAGCACCAGAAACCTAACATTCTGGATATGTGCATGAAACCATCTTGGAAAATAGTGACAATCTGGAGGTGCTACTTTGGTTTTTTCCACCAGACACTTTGAGAACGTGAGTCACTCCCATTCAGAAAAATAGTGACTCACACACAGGGGCAGAATGCTAGGAGGACTTAACAAGACTGCTTTCAAGTCCAATCCAACACAACACAAGCTGGGCATTAGCCAATGTATCTAGATCAGGCTTCCTCAACCTCAGCCCTCCAGATATTTTTGGCCTACAACTCCCATGATCCCTAACTAGCAGGACCAGTGGTCAGGGATGATGGGAATTGTAGTCGCAAAACATCTGGAGGGCTGAGGTTGAGGAAGCCTGATCTAGAGCATGTTTTGCACTCATGCTATACCACAGGTTTACTTACTACTAAACAACCAATGGCAACCTCCAGACAAGTTTTTTATTGTGCATCCATGATGATTTGGGTTTTGGGGTGGTTATACATGATTCTGTTTTCAATATTGTTTGTGTCATGTCACTCATTCCATGTCTCTGATACACAAAATATGGTATGTAGATCCATTGTTCAATATGTGTGTTATACGTTTTATTTTCTAATTTGTAAAAAAACTACATTATTAATTTTATCTGCATTATTTAGAGTATGCTCGGCTGACGAAGTCCAGCAGGGCAAAACAAGGTATTATTCCAGGAATCCTTGTCACGTTTAAGTTCTTTTGTCTGATACCAGCAAACAACAACTACATTTTGCAAAGGTAAGTGTTAAGATCTGTCGTATCCTTCGTCTGATACCTGCATACAGCAGCTGCATACAACAACCATACTTTGCAAAGGCAGATGTGGAACATTACAAGGAAAAGTTCGTCTTTTGCAAGTACTGCTTCTTAAAAGTTGTTACGTTTGACACTGGTATTCGCTAAGACATACGTGGAACAGAAAAAGCTTTTATTTGCACATTACGTTTAAATAAACCGATTCATTTGTACATACGTGGAACACAAAAGCTTCTATTTGGACATTACATATATAAGAACTGATCTATTTGTATTTTCTGTTCTAAATGTTGGTCCTTAATTGCTTCTACTCAACTAGATAATGTGAAAAGAGTTATGTTTATATGATGTATGAAGAATTTATATAGTTAAACACAGCCAGTTACGTTGTGGGTATATTTGAGCAGTTCTTACTATCAGAAAGTAAATGCATATAAAATAATTACAGTGACTAGTCACAAAACACTGATGAAACCTCACAATAACACAAACATCTGGGTACTGGTGAGCTAATTAGCAAGTGCATTAAACCACATACATAGGGTTGGAGATTTTAAGTTGGCCACGCCTAACTTGTCCGACTGATTTCAGTGTGACTATAAAGTGTGACTTGGTCTGGATCAAAGCCCATAGTTCTAGCCCGCCACCTAGCGGACACAGTCCTTCAACTCTCTTCTTCATTTAGATTGCTTTTCTGAAGCTTCTTTCATCTCATAAGATCTGAAAGCTCTTTTTCTGGCTTGGTTAATTAAGCAGGCCCAGCCATGAGAAAGATCAGTATCACCTAACCTGAGACAAATGAAGAAGCAGTTTCACCTCAGGGTCACATGGAAGTCAACAGCAAAGACCAGCCTCAGTGACTCCTACTACTTACTTCTAACAATGAGGAAGAAACCTGCCACACACACACACACACCACAGCTCTCCCAGTGTTGTGGTGTACCTGTGTGCATTATACAGTTACAGAGCAAAGACAGGCGCAATCTCTTATTGCTTCGGGAAAGCCCTGGAGAGAAGGGGACATAGACGGCTGGGAGGGAGGCAGGGACCTCTAGTCTCAGCAACTGCTTCATAGAGGCAAGACCTGCTGGGAAGGAGTTGCTGTGCTCATTTAAGCCTGATAGGCCACCAGGTCCAGGCAGATTGTGTTCTTGGTAATAAAGAGTTAACTCCAGCTTGCTTGACGTGAGCCCACTTAGCCATCCTTAATGATGCCCAACACTGCAGTTTGCTTTACAGCAGGGCAGAGATAGCTGGTGCTCCTTGGTACTGGTAGGGTGGAAGGAAGGGAGGCTAACAGTAGGGGGAGCCAGAGCCAATAACAGGCAGATCCACCCTTTGACTTTGAGGTCAGAAGGCAGGAAGGTGGGGGCAGGCTGAGGTTGGTGGAGCAGTGTCCTATTTGCCCATTTGTTCTGGACAACTAGTCCCTTCCAATTCTTTGATTCAATGAGTAATGCGTGTTTAGCAACAACAAAAAAGCTACTCCAACAGGGCTAGTATCTGTTCTGGATTGATTAATACAGAATATAAGAGTGGGATCTTATAATACAATTTAATAATTTAAATAGTTGCTGAAACATAATAGCATAAGATTGCAGATTAACACTGCATCAATCCTATGCATATTGGCTTTCAAAAGTAATTACCATTGAATCCAACGGAGCTTACCGTATTTTTCGCTCTATAAGACGCACCAGACCACAAGACGCACCTAGTTTTTGGAGGAGGAAAACAAGAATTTTTTTCCCCTGAATCTCAGAAGCCAGAACAGCAAGAGGGATCGCTGCGCAGTGAAAGCAGCGATCCCTCTTGCTGTTCTGGCTTCTGGGATAGCTGCGCAGCCTGCATTCACTCCATAAGACGCACACACATTTCCCCTTACTTATTAGGAGGGGAAAAGTGAGTCTTATAGAGCAAAAAATACGGTACTTGCTAGCAATTGTTTTTTTGGAATGCAGCCTTAATGAACAATACTGAACCACAGGTCAACATCGCAGTTTAAAATGCAGAACTGAAAAGACAAAACAGAATTTAATAAAATATCAGAAAGTCTCCTTAAGAATGAACAACATTCAGCTTCAAAAATCCTAATTGTCCTAGCTGCCGCTGTGGAGATAACCACCTGGTATGTGACATTTGCCTTGGTTTTCAGTACAAAGTGTATTTTAACTGCGTCATGCTGAAATCTTGTTCCAGCCAGCAGCAGGTCAGATTTAAAAAACAAACAACAAAAAATATCCCTAAGAGAGGAATAGAATACAATAGACAAATAGAATCTGCAACAAAGCGTTGCAGTGTGAAATGCTCCTGTTCAGCTATCCAAAAGACAGCAACACCTTCTGCTCTACCAGAATAGTCCATCCCCTCCCTCATATTTTACACCCCCCTACCCGCAAAACCAGTTTCTCAGCATCTGTGATGACCACCAAGTAGCTCCGTTCCCACTGGGCAATTTTAGTACTCCCCGATCCCATTTGGCTTTTGTGTGTGTGTTGCTGCAGTTCTGCACATCTTGGGGTTTCTCCATGTCTGCTTACACATCGATGATTCCGTTTTGGCTACATAAAGATTACGCTCACCTCTGAACTTTGAAAACAGAGGGAATTGCGATATTGGACTATTCCCTGGCTACCATATATGCAGGGGAGATAAAAGCAATGATTAAATAATGCTTTTGAGCAGCTACAGAGTGCCTTTCCCTAACCGCTAAGTAAGTGCAATAAAAACCCCTCGAATCTGAGATTAATTAAAAAACAAAATACGTTGCTGTTGCTCATCCACTATCTTAACTTGTTTTTTGGAAGTGTATTAACAGAGTGGGAGGGATCAGGGGTTGCGTGAGAGTTACTTGCTGGGGGCGGAGACCATTCCCGCGAGTGGGGAGGGGGACGCGGTGGCCTCTCCAGGGAGCGATTTATTTGTTCTATGGGGGATTTTTTTGCCTTCCGTAAAAGCGTGTCCCGCGAGGCAACCCGTAGACACGTGACCTCACCTGGGCTCAGGTGAAGGAGGGGCCCTGGACGCCGTTCACCTGGCTCGGCAGGTAATGCCAAGGCGGGGCTGGCGGGGCGGAAACCATTCCCGGGGGGAAGAGGGGCGCAGGGATCCAGCAGGGCTCTTGGAGAGAAGCGGGCGCGGGCCCCGGGGTACCCCAGCGGCCTCGGCTAGGCTGGCTCAGACCTACCTGTAGAAGGACTAGGCCCTGCCCAGGTGTTAATGGTAACACCAATCCCCTCGGCGCCTCGCTCGTCGCCCCCTTCCTTCCGCCTCCTAGTCTTTGAGTGGTTCCCACCCCCGTCTCCCCCCACTCGCCTCCCACCCAGGCATCTTCCTCGATTTGGGGAGGAAGGGCTTTAACCCAGAAGATCTGAGGCCAGACCAACTTTGAGGGAACAGGCGGATGCAGGTCTGACACTTGCTTACGTGGAGAGACCACCCCACCGCATTACAGGTAATCTGCAGTAGCCTTTTCTCCTCCAATCCTGCATATGAATCCCAGGGGGCCCTATCGATTTCAGGGCGGGAGTGCTGCTCCTGCTGCTTATGCTCAAGTGAGTATGTTTGAGATTATAGCCTCAAGTGGAGGGGATTGGTGATTTTTAGCCTAGAGGTTTACCAGTATTTTAAATTTGGAACTTCCTCTTGTCTGACTTAACAGGACTGTCTGTGCACCGACGACTTGTATTTATTTAGTTAGCTCGTAAAATATATGCACCATTTGAAAGAAACCTAAAAGTGGTTTACAAAAAAAACCACTCACTAGCTTGACCAGTCCAGAGACTCTGCACCCCATAACACATGCATGCACTCTCTCTTCTTTAGAGCAAACATGTCACTCTCACTGAACTGAAAGAGTAGCCCTTAAAATGTCTGCCCCATTCTTCCTGGAATGCAGGGTAACTACTTTATTTTGCCTTTGTGGTCAGTATAGATATACTTATTGATATACTGGTGGGAGCAAATGTTCTACTATCCAAGACCACCCTTGACTGTCAGAAATTTAAGGGTAGGATGGAGATTCAGAATACAGTGGTACCTCGAGTTACATACGCTTCAGGTTACAGACTCTGCTAACCCAAAAATATTACCTCGGGTTAAGAACTTTGCTTCAGGATGAGAACAGAAATCGTGCTCCAGCGGCGTGGCGGCAGCAGAAGGCTCCATTAGCTAAAGTGGTGCTTCAGGTTAAGAACAGTTTCAGGTTAAGAATGGACCTCTGGAACGAATTAAGTACTTAACCCGAGGTACCACTGTATGTTAAGGGGTAAGTCATATGCAGTAGACTGTTGCTTGGTTTATGGCTGTGGTCCTACCATCCATTGCCAGAACAGTCATCTACATATTGCACACCACCTCAGCAGTAGTTATTCTGTTTGCAAATACAGTGTGGCCAAAATAAACTGGTGGTTACTGGCTTTAGCTGTTGCACTGGGGAAGCGGGGGTTACATATAACATTGGAACAGTTGTTTTGGTTGAAACCAAAGCAATAACAGGAATTATGCAGGTGTGGTAGGTGGGGGGGGGCAATTCTCTTTTTAAATACAAAACAAAAAACTACAAATAGCTGGCATAGCTTGATCTGATGATTCTGGAATTATTTAGCAAGGGAATCCAACAGAGAGATCTTATGTTTGTTCAACATGTACTTGTCTGTCTCCTTCCTTCATTTCAAAGTCACCCCTTTGTGCAGCAATGCTGAATGCTGGTCATATACCTTAACTGCTCCTGTCCACCAAGGACACCCTGGCTTGAGCCTAACTGCTTAAGCTGCCCCTTATTACTCTCACAAAGCCTTTTAATTCTCACCATGCATTCATGTTCTTCTGGATTTTCTTGCATCTGTATCAGATAGGTCCTAGAAATGTTTGTGATGAAGCCATTCTCCGCACACAGGGTTATATCCAATTAAGTTCTACTCAAAGTATACCCATTGAAATTAGTGGACCTAAGTTACCTAAGAACAATATAAGAAGAGCCTCCTGGCTCAGGCCAATGGCCCGTCTCACCCAACATCCTTTTCTCACCGAAGCCAACCAGTTGCTTAAAGGAAGCTTGCATGGAGAACCTGAGTACAATAGCACTTTCGCCACTTGTGATCCCCATCAGAGGCATACTGCCACCAGCATTGGTGATAGTACATAGACATCATGGTTAGCAGCCACTGATTTGTCATAAAGTTAGTGTTGTCCATTCATTTCAGTGGGTCTACTCTGTGTCCCAGCTTCTGCCAACCTAGCAGTTCGAAAGCACACCAATGCAAGTAGATAAATAGGTACCACTGTGGCGGGAAGGTAAACGGCGTTTCCGTGCACTCTGGCTTCCATCACGGTGTTCCGTTGTGCCAGAAGAAGTTTAGTCATTCTGGCCACATGAGCCGGAAGGCTGTCTGCAGACAAACACTGGCTCCTTTGGCCTGAAGTGAGATGAGCGCCTCACCTTTTAGTCTGGACTTAACCATCCATGGATCATTTACCTTCTACCTTTTTCTCTGAGTATGACTAATTTTGGATACAGCTCACAGTTCCTGGAAAAGTTCTACTTCCTCTGGAGGGTTCCCATTGCACAAGCATTGATTTGTATTTATTTAAAATATTTCTTAAATACAAGTCTTTGGACAAAGGGGTGGATAAAGCTACTTACACAGGAGAAGTGCAATGTCAAACCCTGCAAATAAGCATAACAATATGCAGTAAAATAGAGGCAGACATACAACTGAAGAGATGAATAAGGCAAAATCCCAACTAAAATGCCTAAAATAAGACATACAGAAAGGTCTTAACACGGGGCCAAAAAGCTCATAATGCTGGCACCAGAAGTGCTCCTTTAGGGAGGGGATTCTGGAGTTGGGGCACCACTGTAGAATACACCTCTCCTTTGTGAATTCATAATGTACCCCAATTAAAGAAGTTACTTGTAGCTGGGCTTCTGCAGAGGATCTTAAAACACATGAAGGCTTTTATGTTGTTGTTATTGTTGTTAATGTTAATTATTTATTTGGACTTATTAGGTGCTTCTTACCTAAGAGCATGGGTCCCACTGAAGTGCTAACTATGACCTTTAAAGCCCTTAATTGGGCTTGCCAGTGTGGCATCTGTGAGAACAATGGTGCCATTGAGTCCATTCCCTGGTGCTGACAACACCTCTGAGCCCCCCCCCCCACCGCCCTCTTGGTCATGAGATGGTGGAGGTGATTACCTTTTTCTCCCTTGAAAAGTGCATAGAGCTGAAGGATGAAGTTGGAAGTGTGGTGCTTCCCGCACGCACGCACGCACACACACACACTTTTTCAGATCAATGTGTTTTTTCAGGTACATTCTACTGGATCTGACTTCTAGCAAGATCCCTTATAAAAGTGAAGGGGGTGTGCACACTTTCTTTTTCTCTCTCTCTAGGCGGGTTAGGGCTGGTTTGGGAAAGGGGAAAGAGAAGTGACCAGAGGGGACAGTACCAGGGATGGATTAAGACCTTTAGAGGTCCGAAGCCCTTAAAAGATTTAGGCCGTCCCCCTCCCCATATATATATCTAATTCAAAATATAAACAATAATAAACCGTAAAATAATTCGCCGTCGCCACCAAAATAAAAAGAAACCTACAATAAGATGGAAAACAATGTTGATTTTTGTATATTTGTATAAATAATGTTTTTTGTTCAGCTGTGCCATATGGTCCATGGTAAATCTGGCAATGGAAAAATTCAGTGGTGTCCCCCCCCCTTCCCTTGATGTTCTAAGCACATGCTTATTTTGCTTAATGGTTAATCCAGCCCTGGATGGTACCCATACCACTTGCTCAAAAATCCAAAGACTTCAAACAGTTGGCAACCCCTGCCTTAATGGTTTAGGGCCCAGTTATTTTAAAAAAGGCTGCCTACTCCCATGCAAACCTGCCAGATATTTATGCTTCTTGACAGAGGCCCTACTCATACACCTGTCAGGGAGAGAGGCCCGGCTAGCAGACAGGAAGGATTGGGGCTTTTTCTATCATGGCTCCACAATTATGGAGCTCCCTAACCTAGGATACACAGTCAGACCCCTTCTTGATATCACTTAAGAGGGACCTAAATGCATTTTTAAATTAGTATTTGTGACTGCTTTTATTGGGGATATGTAAGAGGTAAGAAGCTTCTTAACTTTGTTCAGATGGATGGCTAATGGAACTGGATTGGAAGAAGGGAGAATGATTTACCGCTGCTATTGACGTTAGCGAAGTGTTTGATATTTATTTGTCATTTTAAAATTGTTTTAATATCTTAGTCAGCTGCCATGGGAAAGCAGTCTCTTTTGCACAGTTACAAACTAAGAGAAACAAATCCTCTGAATCTACTTAACAACAGCAAAACTTTTCCTTTTTATCTTTGTGAGCACAGGATATTTTGAAATGGACGAAGCCGCTGCTTAGGGTCTAGATTAACCCGAAAGAAGGCAAGGCAAAAGGTAAATAACAAAAAAGGAGGGTTTTTTGCGGGGGAGGGAGGGAGAAGAGAAGGGAGATGGGAAAAGTCGGCACAAAAAATATGACATGCTGGGGGGGGAATCCTGCCTTTCTTCCCTCAGGCCATTCTATTTCTGCCTTCAAGGAAAGCTGAATTCTTTGTTAGACCTGTACAAATAAGGCAAAATGAGTTCATTTACACGATTCCTTAATTTGTGTAATCCTGCAATATTTACAGCGTTCCATAATTTGATTCTAGCTTTGCCATTACAAGGAGCTCTGTGTGATGCCAAAGCTCAGACTCTCCCCTTCACCACTGGAGGTTTTCTTCAGCTACTCTTCCACCTTCTGAAGCTTCAGCGCCCAGCTCCCACAAAGGACAGGTGTGTTGTGTGTGCACAGAACTCCCACCACCAGTCGCAACCACCCCAGACACATTGCACATGTCTTTTCCTGGCTCATCCTCACTTCAGCTTCCTGCAGGCATATCTACCCTTCCAAAAGCTATGTTTGAAAGCCCTGGGCAAAAATTCCATATGACACAAAGGGTTGCACTTGGAAAGCAAAGTTGGCAAGCCTTGTCTTCAACACCAACAACAGAAGTGCTTTCTGTTTCTATGTGGGGTCATCTAGAACTCCATTGTATCTTCAAAGGGCTAGAAACTTGATTTATTTATTTTTCAAACAGAAAGTTGATCTTCTCAATAAACTGCATTCTGTATCCAGTGTTGCCATGTGTTTCCATAGAATAGAATTGCAGCACATAATGCAGAGCAGGGGTGGGGTGAGAATCTGAAGTGGACACTAGTATAGAAAATCTTTGTTCCACAGCTTGTTGGCCTTTTAAGGGAGCCTCATGAGAGACTTGTATCATCTGACACCTATATGCAATGTTGGAGGAGGGTCTTTGGTGCATTCCCAGTGCCCAAAGGAGCTTTTCATTAGAAAACTGGCAGCATTGTGGCCATGCTCCTGTATAAACAGAAAGAGGGGACATGTGAGTCAAAGAGGTGCTGGGATTCAGAATATGGCACTCAGTCCCGCCAGCCTTTCATCATTCCTTTTCTGAGCCACTTGCAATCTCTGCTTTGTGGGATTTTTGTGCAGATACAGATCCCACACTACAGCAGCAGTGACATGGAACCTAATACCAAATGAATCTTGACCATAGCAGTCTTGCTGTCCTGGTAGAGGCAGAACTTGAGCATCTTAACCTCTTTCTCTTCTGGTGCTTCAGCTCAGGTCATCTGGATTTGATGGAGAGCATGTGTGTTTGAGCATGTGTGGTTTTTGTTTTCTGTTTTTTTCCTCTCTCCCTGTCAGGAGTCGAAAGGGTGGCAAGTCATGCTTGGAAAGACACAAGGACATCGCCAAAACCTAAGCAGCTACCACCAGCCCCCTAGAGATGTTGCGGTACCCCAGCAGATCAACTCTCCCAGAGCGACTGACATTAGCCTGGAGGTGTTCAGTGGCTCTACCCCTGAGCTCAAGCAAACCCGCAAGCCAACACGAGCTGCGAGAAGCCGCAAAGCCGACCCCAAAGATGCCAGTGGGAGGGAGGGCGAAACGAGTACCTTTATCCCTGGCGCTGTGGAGACCCCCCGGCCCCCCTGCTGCCCCACTCTGTCCCAGGCCTGGAGTGTTTACAAAGCGATCTTCTGCTGCATTGTGACATGCGGGGACTGCTTCAGGGACTGCCCTTCTAGGAGCCTCTACAATGAGGCACTGACAGATGAGAGCAGAGAGTGCAATGGGCGTTCGCCAAACAGTCCTGCCAATAGCTCCCCTGCTGAAAAAAACGGGAGCCAAACCAAAAAGAGCACGATCGGGAGCAGTTTCAGCTACCCAGATGTGAAACTGAAAGGGATCCCAGTGGGGATTTATACCCCTAGCCCCCACACGGATACTGATTCATGCTACAAGGAGCCTCTTCCGGAGAAGATAGCCAGGAACAGCATAGAGAAGCAACCTCTCCCCAGCAGCCTTCGAAGCTCTGAGGATTACTCCGCCGATGATTTGGATACCGACAGTGACAGTGACCCAAAGAATAGCTCTATATCCAGTGGTCGGATTGATTACTTGATCCACAGGAAACTGACCGAGCTCTTCAGCATTCACCAAATTGACGAGCTGGCCAAGTGTACGTCGGACACCGTCTTCCTGGAGAAGACCAATAAGATCTCAGACCTCATCAACAGCATCACTCAGGACTATCACTTGGATGAGCAGGATGCCGAATGCAGGCTGGTCCGGGGGATCATACGCATCAGCACGCGCAAGAGCCGGGTCCGACCCCGCGTTTCTGTCCCGACCCGCCCGAGTCTGGAGGAGAGCATGAGCAGAGGCAATCTGCCAGACAGTGGCAACGAGACCATGTTGGCATCTGTGCTCCCTAGCGAAGGAGGTACGTATGAAGCTCTGTGCTGTGTGTAGAGCAAAGGGGAGCCATAATAATCAAGGGTGCCTATGAAGTATGGGGCTTTTTAATACATATTAGAGAGAGAGAAGAAGAAGAAGAAGAAATAAGCAAATATGCATGGATAGTTAAGCACCAGTTTTAACACCAGATCTGGTTTCTCTTGGTGGTAGTTATTCCAATCCACATGTACCATATACAAAGAAATATCCTGCATTTTAGCCCAATTTGCTTAACAAACAACACTAATCTACCCCTGGAATCAGCATTCATAGGATCCTTAACAAGGGTAAAGATAACAACCAGTTGAAAACCTTTACTACTCCACGTTCCCAAATTGCAAATGGATGCCACTGTGGGTCCCAGCTCTGCATTACTATATGGCGGTGGGCAACTTTAAAGCTTTGGAAGCTGGAGTAATGTGGGAGACCCTGGCCAAATCCCTGTTTGGTCAGAAAGTTCACTGGGTGATTTTGTATCAGTTGTCCATTTGCACCTATGTCCCTCTGCTGGGAAGGCCTGTTGTGAAGATGAAACTGGATGGAGGGTGGAGACGATAGTGGCAGCAGGGAACAAAGTATGCTACCCTGAGCTTCTTGCAGGAGTGATGGAATAAGAATGCAATAAAATCCTTTGGTGGGCATGCTTGTATGTATGCTCCTCTCCCACATGCACGTGCATATCCCTCACTCTTCCTAAGTAGGTTCAAACAGCCATCTTTTCCCAAAGTGTCACAGTTGCCACACCGGCATGTTTTAAGATGTGGAGAGGCCCAGGGGCTGAATGTGCATTTGAGTGCCCCTTTCCTTCACACACAAACCTACATCAATGTCATTTATACCCCTCAACTGAGCGCACTGTTCTGTCAGTATGGATGTGGCCCCTGCTTGTGTGAGGCCTGGGGCCATTACCTCCTCTAAAAAGGGGGGGCATTGTGTTGCCACCTAGTAGGAGCCTTCTGTTAGGGTCAAATGCATGGGGGTGTTTGCAGCCAACACTCCCTGATAAGCTATGAAAATCCGGCTTGGATGGCTACCTGAATTCATGCTTTTTTCTTCACTGTAGGCCAGAAATGCCTGGGAGGCAAGCAATGGAGAAGGATTTTGTGTCTCTCACATGCACCCCGAATGCCAGGGATGGAGAGCCCTGTCCTTCCACATGTTGTTGGACTCCTAACAGACCCAGCCAACATAGTTATGAGGGGTGATGGGAGCTGTAGTCCAGCAATATCTTGAGATTCACAGGTTTCCTGCTATAGGTTATCAGTAGCTTCTTATTTTGAATGACTTGAAAATATTCGTTCATACTAAGGTGGTGTGCTTTCCTTTAGCAACTGGACCTGGCCACTAGAAGACTCAGCGAAGACTGGAACCAAAATCCCAGTTCAGCCCCGAGTCATTCTCCAAGTTACTACCTCTAAGCCTCAACCTCTTATTTGCAAAAAGGGGTATAATGGCAACACAATTTGAAGGGTGATGATGAGAAGGAATGAAAGAATGGGGGTGGGCTACAAACTGAAATAAGCTCAAGTTTTCTTACGTAAGGCCCTGGGTACATTTGGGGGTTGTAACATTTTGTGCACTCGCTAGCAAACTGGTTATATCCTTGTCTGTTTCACAGAGGCTACCTGGCTGTGTTGCCCAGTGTGTGCTCATCAGCTCCCCGTTCAGTGTGTACCTGTATGAGATGCTTGTGCAAGCAGGTGTTTCCCCACATTCACACACTTAGCTGTTTGGGTATATCCCTAAAATATGTAGATGCCACATGATGTGTGTTTCCTTTCAAATTTCTTCTTCTTTTGGTTATCTGTCTTCTAGATTTCCCTGTTCAGATATCTGTTGAAACCACAGCAGATATGAAAGCCAGGAACATGAGGCATGGAGCATACAGCGCTGCTGGTAAGACATCTTCACAGAATGAATCGTGTTACAGTGGGGCCCCGCAAGATGAATGCCTCGCAAGACGAAAAACTCGCTAGACGAGTTTTCCGTTTTTTGAGTCATTCCGCAAGACGAATTTCCCTATGGGCTTGCTTTGCAAGACGAAACATCTTGCGAGTTCTTGTGAGTTTGTTTCCTTTTTCTTAAAGCCGCTAAGCCGTTAATAGCCGCTAAGCCGCTAATAGCCGCTAAGCCGCTAATAGCCGTGCTTCGCAAGACGAAAAAACTGCAAGACGAAGAGAATCGCGGAACGGATTAATTTCGTCTTGCGAGGCACCACTGTACCTCCTTTTTCCATTTGCGACCATCGAGCCATCACAGTCTTCCCAACGTGAGCCTGAAGTCATTTAGAATTAGGCTCAATATAAACGTTGTTTGCGGACAGTACTATTGTTTGTTACTAAGCAAGGTATTGGCTTGGGTTTTATATTGAAGTAATAGCATGAGCCTTATTCAGGAGTTCAACTTGCATAATGAATAATCGTATAGAGCTCTGGCGGTGCCCACTGTACCAGCCCCCCACCAACATTGCAACCCTACCCCTAACCCACCTATGCTTTTGAGGGAACCTGCAGAACTCTGCACAGACAAGATTCCCCATGTGGTTCCCAAGAGTCCCTCATGTGATTCCCAAACATTTTGCCCCCTGGACCAGTTGAAAATTGCTGAAGGTCTTGGCAAACCACTTAATGATTTTTCTGCCTGTTTAGCAATGGTAATTTGCTGCAGCGTTATTCCTTTAAGGAAGACAGAGCCTTCTTCCAACCGCTCCATTCTGCAAACCACCTGGTTTCGAAGAACAATGGAGTGGCTGCTGTACTTGCCTTTTTTCTCAGAGAGAGACAGCCTCTGTATCTTCTACTCTTACACACATACATTGTTCTTCATTATCCTATGGAAGCAGTAAGGATGTACTTAGTTTTTCACACATGATTTCTCCATATTGGCTTTATTTCTGTTAAATAAATCACGACACGGTATAATATGCCATGTGTTGTTGTTCATCTGAGGTTGTATTTACCTAATTTTAAGACCTGCTAAGGAACAAATGATTGCTATTATGTCTCCATACGTAAAACCACAGAATTCAAAGAGGGTGCACTTTCTTTTCCCCATGACTGTACATGTAACTCCACAACTCCACAGAGTCAGTGCCACACACACACACAAATGAAGCTGAGTCATGACTGTTGGTGGTCCATGGATCACTCTTTGGGAACTCCTGGCTTAGAGCACAAAACTACTCCATGCCGTTTAATCATCATGCAATTTGAATATTCAAATGTAGAAATGGGTAACACCAACTGTGGTATTACAGTCCTGGGGATCCAACTGCAGATTAATTCAATGATTTCCTTTGAACAAGTGTGCGGAATCTATGATCATGCACGTTTATGTTCTTGGGAATCCTGGAAAATCAGGTGTTCAACTGAAGGTGCATGGGGTATGTTGTCTAAACAGCGCTTCTAAACTCTAGGGCTAGGAAACTTGTGACGCAGCCCTGAATTATCAACTTGTTTATAGAGATTATAAGAAGGAGTGAGACCCTGTCAGCATAATGCACATCTGCTCAAAGATTTGCTCTGGCTGCCAATAAATTCAAGGTGTTACTGTTAATATATAAAACCTGCAACAGCTTCAGACCCATGCACTTGAAGGATCTCCTTCCCCTATATGCTCCCACTTTGGAACTGGTGCTTTTAAACGATCCACTCTGCACTTGCAAGAAATCAGTCTTTTACCGTGGCAGCACCTATTTTCTGAAATCCCTGCCTGATAATGTCAGGCAGGCAACTCTCTTGTATTATTTTTGCCAGCTGCCCAAAAATGTTTTATTTAGGCTAATCTACCCAAAACATGTAATGACTATTTTATACCATTTTATGTAAACTGTTTAGAGATATATTTTTGATCAAGTGATATATACAATTGGCTTGAGTGCGAAGTAAACCCGTTCCTGCCTTCTGCCTAATGAGCACAAAGGCACTGGTAGGATTCGCAAGCCCTTTGCTTTGGCAGCAGGGTGGGTGGAATGTTCTCTTATGTGACTTTGGGGTTGGTTTTATTTATTGGCTTAATTATTTCAGTCTTACTGATGAATGAGGAAAATCGGAGACATGACTTGAGAAGAGAGCGTAGCAACTAATTCCAGTCACTACTACTTTCCCCATGATAGTCCTGTTTTAAAATTCTTGGATGAGCCTAGCTTTTTAGCCTACACCCTCTTCCACGCACTTTTCTGGCTATGGTCTTGCTGACCTGTTTTAATATATGCAACAACCTTTGGTAACATTATTCTTTTTCTGCTAGCCGTGGAGAGAGGCAAAGTACTATACAAGGTACGGAAGCCCTGCTGTCTGGCAGCTGGAAATGGTTCTCTCTCTGCCGGCTTCTTCCTGAGGTTTCCCAAGGCCATTGCCTGTGTTTTTCTGACCCTACTTTGCACAGCCTTGAAGGCTAAGAACTTGCTCTTGGTTTTTACAGGCTCGCCGAGATTCTTAGGAGTTTTGACTTCTCTCCTGCAATACCTGTTTCCACACAAGTGATTGGAGGGAGTGGAGGGTGGAGGCTGCATAAATCTGAGTCACAGAGACAGGGGAGACCTTATAGTCCAGCTGCCTGCTTAATGCAGGACACAACTATGGCTATCCCTAACAGCTGTCATTCAGCCTCTGCTTAAGTTATTCCAGTGAAAGAGAACCTACTGTCTCCCATGACTGTCTTTCCCATTGCTAGACAGCTTTTGCCATGATTGTATTATGGAATGCAGGCTGTAATGTCTGATGTGGAATCTAACAGGTTAAGTAGGGTACAAAGAATCTCAGGTTCTGTTTGTTCTTACCAAAAGTCAGGTTCTAGTCCTCATGGCTGTGGACTTTTTGAGAGGGATCCACTGCTTGCATTGGATTTTAGGGGTTGCAGCGTACCATTTTTGCAGATATTTTCTTCTTATTCCCCTTTCCTAAGTATGCCATAGTCCTGTATGGCTCTCCTCTCCCTCTTCTTGTTCCTTCTGCCTCCTGTTCTTAGGGTTAAAATGGCTGCCAAGAGCAGCATCACCGGTGTGCCTTAGCTGTGCTTTAGCAGACACCGACTATGACAGAGTTCGAGAGCACCTTGCACACAGCTTGTGGTCAAGCTACATTCCCCGAGCTTGATGCAAGAATGGCTGGGTGCAGTTCTTGGGTCTTACATGGGATCTTGGGTTAGTTATAAACAGGGCTGTGAGTCTTCTGCACATCCATGATGCAGGATTTGGCTAAGAATGCTGGCTTTCTTTCCCCACCTACCTCTCAAGATGAGCTTCAAGTTTTTGTAGCTACAAAGAGACACTTCAAGACATGCAGTTAAGTCTTCTTCAGCTGAACATGAAACAGCACTTCTGTAGTCTACTGAGCTTTAATGCTGTTTCTTTATGGCAAACAGAAACAGGGGCCTCATCTGCATTATATATTTAAAGCAGTATCCTAGGATCCTAGACTTGTAGAATTGGAAGGGACCCTAATGTTATGCAGTCCTGCAGTGCTAAAGAATTCCTAACAGATGGCCATCCAGCCTCTGTTTAAGAAGCTTCATTGATGGAGAGTCCACCTTTTTCTGAGGTAGTCCGTTCCACTGTCAATAGCTCTTACCATCAGGACGTTTCCCCAAATGTTTAGTCAGAATCTTTTTTCGTGTAATTTGAATTCATTGGTATCATACCGCTTTAAACAGTTATGGCTTCCTCCAAAGAGTCCTGGGAACTGTACTTCGTTAAGGGTGCTGAAAGTGGTTAGGAGACCCCACTTTCCCTAATAGAGCTGTGATTCCCAGAGTTCTGTGGGAAGAGGGGTTGGCTATTGAACCACTGTGGAATTGTAGCTCTGTGAGGGGAATAGGGGTCTTCTTGCAACTCCCAGCACCTTTAACAAACTACAGTCCCCAGGATTCTTTGTGGGGAATCCAAGACTATTTAAAGTAGTATGATACTGCTTTAAACGTATGGTGCAGATGGGTCCAGGGTTTTAAAAAAACAAAACTAAAAAGCAACCATGTTTACATAAATATGAGAAGATGCTGTTTTCCTGCATTGTGATTTTCAGTCCAGTAAATGATGAATTGGTTCCATTTTTTGTGAGGAGGTCTGTTTATTTTTCTCTACTTCTTTGACAGATGTGGTCTGTCAGTTTACCCATTTGTGCAATTTCATATCTTCCACTATGGATGGAAAATGGGATTTCCAACAGCTGACCAAAACCTTTTTGCCACAGTTAAACAGCTTAACAAATAATACAAGAGGGGAGGACAGATTTCAGGCTTGTTGGATCTACTTTTTTACTAGAACCTAAAGATGTACAAACTAAGAGCCAAGTACAAAAGTCATGCAGAATGAAAGAGCAAGAGTCCCTCTGAGCACATTCTGAGCCTTGGAATTTGGTTCGAGTACCAGAAGTGACCTGAGCTCACAATTCTTTCTTTCTTTTTTAAAGTCCACTCCCAGTTACCAAATCTTCATCTCAGCAACATAATTGGGGTGGGGAGAGCTGTTTTGTTGTTGCATTTGTTAATCAGTTGTGGGTTGGAAATCCTTGTTAATCCATTGCACATCACCCAGTAGATCCTGAACTACCTCTTGCCCTATAACTATTATATGTACCAGGGGTGGGGAACCACTGGACCGTAGGCCTAAATTAGGACCACTGCACCATTTGGACCTCAGGACCATTTTGCCCAAGCCACTCATGCCTGGGGCAGGTTAAGGTGTAGTTGGGTCCAAGGGGGCTTGCAGTAGGTGCTGCCACCATCATGATATCAGTTGATTGACAGGGGAGTTGTCCTAGCCATATGTCAAACTTCGCCCCCAGGGACTAGGGAAAATAAGGAACCCTAAGGTTGGCAGAAGTCCATAACAGCTGAAAGTGGACTGAGTATGTTCCATGGGCATGGAATGCTGAATGACTGCCAGCTGGTGGAATGGACTGTCTGTAATCTTGAGCAGGAGCACTTCACACAAAACTCTGTTGCAGATGCAACTTGTAGTCTCCAAAATGTCAAATTGCAGCCTCTTCGGAACTTAAAGTAAAACAAATTTGACCAATTCAAATTTCCAGAATTATTCATTCATTCATTCATTCATTCATTCTCTCTCTTCCCCCCTCCCCCCCCCCCGCACTGAATTTGGGGTGGGTGGGTGTGCTGATGATATACAGCCCTGGTTATAGTACAGTGTTCCAGCTTATCCTTTGGGTATGCATTTTCCAGGCTTTTGTATATTATGTATAAAACTCAGTGTGATCTGTTATTTACAACAAAAACTAAAACTAAAACACCCTCTTCTTTGTTTTCCCCTCTCAAGGATCTCCCCTGAGCAGAGGTTCTTCTTTCCAGGATACAGAGACGGATTCCTCTGGAGCTCCTCTGCTGAAAGTATATTGCTGAAAAATGGACCTCGGGAACGAACGTGCTAGGCAACGAGGCCATGGGGCAAGTTCCCGATTTCTAAATGACAAATACGATGCCACTTTATTTTGTTTGTCAATCTTTAAAAATTGAACTTGACTCCCTTAACTTGCATTTTAAGGGAGCCTCATAAGCAGATTGTTGTCTAGCAGCAAAATGACAGGAAAAGGATATTGGCACCAGCCATAAGTTGGGCTTTCCCAGAATGCCTGGTTCTGTTGCCATTTTCCAAGATAGATTCTGCTGTAAACTTGCCTTCAGATGACCAAGCTAGTGCCTTTTTCACTACATCCATAAGCGACTTTTTGCTGTAATGGACGTTAAGTAGCAGTGATGGGTTTTTTGCACACGTCTTTCTAAGTGTGATCGTCCCACTAGTGTAAGGGCTCCTGTTATGCAATATCCCACATTATGTTGGTTTGATGGTGCTTGGAGACCTTGAAGACATCTTTCTACATCTGTCGTTACTTAGTACAGTATGCTTGGCTCAAGAGTACCACATCTGTGCCTTGGATGGACTGTGTTGAGCGAGTGATGATGAAACCGCCTTCAATGATGGCAAATTGACATGAATGATGGCAAATCAACTTTCAAGCAGTGTGTAATCCGTGGCCATCCTACAGACTTTCTAACTACGTTAACGCAGGCTGCTTGGAAAACCAGCCAAGACATGACGTCATATGGCTTGCCAACCATTTGTTGCAGAGCTTTGTTTCAGTCAACTGACAACCGTCATCCAGGGTTGGAAATGATAGCTGGGGTCCTCAAGCAGATTGGGGCTTGCTATGAAAAACCATAGGACTCGGCATCACGTGTCATTTTCAGTTCTTTTTTTCTAAGCCCATCCCGCTCTACATCAAAGTTAAGCCTTGGAGGGTAAAAGAAGAAACCAGTTTATAAACAAGCCAGCTTATATCAAGCAAATCATGGCTTTCATAGTAATTATCAAGCCTCAGAATGGCATTTAGAAACTTGATACATTTTTTCTCTTATGGAACGTCAAGGAGTTTGCGTTGGATGGGATCCACAGTGTATCTGGGACATTTAACTTGAAATTCAAACTGGTTTGAAACCCATTTACGTTGTTTTGCTTCCCTCAGATAGCAATGTGAATTGTTACTAGTCATCCTTTTAGCAATCCTATAGTCTGTTGACAGAATAAAGGTACCCAGGGCTCCTTTGTTCAGAGCCCTTTTCACCTTTGTGCCTCAAATTCAGGCTGCTTTGATTTCAGTGGCAAAAGAGCTGAGATGTTGATGAAATGTTCTGCAACTGCGGATGGGTAGTTTCCAACAACGGCTGTGCAAAAGGACTCTTGTCCCTGGAGCTGTTGCCATAGAGGATGGCAGCATCACGCACTGACCCACTGATAAGTGTGGTGTAACACTGGGCTTAGCTGGGCAGAGCAAGCACGTTTGTGTAATGTTATTAAACAGCGGCCACAGTCCAGAGCCCCACAACTCTGCATACTGTTTTTGGAGCTCTTGGGAGAATGCATGTGATGGGGGGGGGGGAGAACGCATAGCTCTCCCTTTCCCTCACCCCCACTTGCATCTTGTGAGTGAATTCCTTCTCCTTTCTGTTCCCCCAACCCCAGTACTCTCACCTGGAGTCTTCCCAGATTGGATGGACCAATGTGTGTGTTTTGTTTTTTGCAGAAGACTGCAGGGAAGTCCTCAGCCAGGTTAATTCATGCAGCTGGTGGCATTTTGGTGATTTGCTGTATACTTATCTTCATTTTTAACTTAGGCTTGATCAGAACTGGTAGCAGTGTATAATTTCCCCTCTTTTAAATGTGCACACTTAGTTGTCAGTAACACACTGAATACACAACACTGTGCTGATTTTTTTAAAAGTGCCAGTCACTCCCCACTGTTACCTCTCTCTTTCTCTCCCGCACCTTTCTGTTTTGTACCTTAACTTGCCTGGAGGGGACATTTTCGAAATAGTAATGTGTTTTCTTTGGGAAAGGAGCTAATATGGAAAATACATGTCCTTTTGCTCTTTTAAAAAAGCCAGTGAACTTTTAAAAAATAGTAATGATGATTATGATGATTTTTAAAAAATCTACCCCTCTTCCACCCATACCAAGGTATGGGTTTAATCTCAAGGATGACAGCAGCATTTAGGAATGGGTTCCGATGTTGCCTTTTGCAAATACCATGAACTTTGCATAATGGTCTAATGGTTTGTTTGTTCCACTTGCAAATATGTACATATTTTTATTGATTATTAATTTCAGTTGACAAAAACATATCCACAAATGGAATACAGAACTTACCAGTTGTTCAGGAAAGAAAGAAAGAAATCAGTTGATGGTTGTGGTCTTAAAACGTTCCAAAGTAGGCAGTCAAATGAAGGTCCTTCACAGGGTTCCGTGTGTCAATGGAGGGTGAAAACCATGTTCAATTGTCTTAACAAAGTCAATAAAGGGATACCATGTTGTACAGAAGAAGACGCGAGTCCTTTTTTTCCAGATCAATGTTCCTTTCGTGAGGTGGTTTGTCCATAAGCACGATGTCCCATACTTGCAAAATTCAAGCTTCAAAAAGTTTTGCAGTTAAAGGCTTTCCAGTTCTTTGTTTATCACTAATCAATCTGCAACGAAGAATGAGATATTTATTAATTGTATTCTTAATCTGAAGAGTAAAATAAAAGGGCTAGTTTTGGGTCTCGTCATAGTGACTGTCCTGTCATCTGATTAATTATTTGAAAAGGGAATGAATGGGGCAATATGATTACTAGGGAACTAGGCAAATTGCATTCCTGCCAGCAGCGTTTGGCTGTATTGTTAATTTTATTCAATCTGACTGGGCACATGTGCTATTTTTAGAGCATTTTTTCAAGTCCTAATTGAGAGAGATCCAAATGGTAGTCTAGTCCAATTTTGTTTCCATAGTTGTTCCTCTAGCTCTTCTCCACAATATTTTCCCCATTTTATTCTTAATAAAATGAAATAAGAGGAGAGGTAGCAAGAGGATTTTATATAGTTGGGAAATGATTCCTTTTTCCAGTGTGTTGGTAGTATCAAATAATTGTTCAAAGCTGTTTAGGTTGAGTAGTGTCTGAGCCCTTAGGTTTGGTTGGTTTAGGAAGCATATGATCTGTTGCATGTGGTCTGGAACTACCCTTTCAAGCAGCATTTGATGACCCTGAAAAATAAGAGCAAATCCCTATGGGGAGCAGTATCAGTTGTGGGTCTGCACAGATAAGGAAGCCAAATGGTGTAGGCTTGTGTGGTCTTAAGGAAAATGCTTCAAATGTGCCCAAGGTGGATTAAGTCTCTGCCTCTTTGTCAGAGAACAGATAGCTTCAGGGGATATCAAAGGTTAGAACACACTGGACTTGATGAACCAGTTTTCCCCTTTCTCCTACTACTAGGAGAAACATCTCCCCCCAGCTTTCACCATCAACTTCCTCTGCAGAAAAAAGAAATGTTAAGCTTCTCCCAGTGACTTAGATGACAATAAAAAACAAGGAACAGGGGTGTGCACACCATAATAAGCTTTGAGCCATCCAAAATAAATACAAGTTGGCACTCTGCAGTCAGAAGAAAGCACTACTGGGAGTTCAATGGCATTTACTCCCAGGAAATGATGCATGGGATTGCAGTCGTGCTGATCCTAATAAATTGGGCATTATGATATGTATTGCTGCTACCCACCCAGCCCAAAGCAGGGGTAAAATATATTATGAATCAACTCAGCTGCTTTTCTTTTTGACTCTCCTTGGCGTGACTATGGGGCATAATCAGCTCCTGCTGTTTAAAATGTGGTCATGAGCGCTCATTTTTGTTTCAGTGGAAAGTAACGATAGAGCTGAGGTGGCCACCTCCTTTTCTTCTCCAGTTCATTGATTTCCATTTTTCATGAGAGCTTATTAATGATTGTTAATTGGAAGGATACCTCTGGAGAGTTTACAACATTTGACGCTTTTTAGCTTAGAGCAAAGGTGAGGAAGATGAGTCATGATGGAAGTATATAAAATGGGTTGGAGACAGCAGACAGAGCAGCTTTGTTCCTCATCAAAGCAAAGTCTGGGAAAATTCAATGAGGCTGAATGGTGGAAGATTCAGGACAGGCAACAGAACGTACTTTTCCACACAGAGCTAAACAATGGAACTCACTCCCACAAGAAGTAGTGATGGCCACCAACTTGGATGGCTTTAAAAGATAATTAGACAAATTCACGACTATGTTCGATGATGATGAAATACCTGCCTTCACCCTAAGGTCTCAGGGCAGGTTACAACAATTTAAAATCTAACATTAAAATCCACTATCAGAGGCTTACTGCCTCTGAATGCCAACTGCTGGGAATCACAGGAGGGGAAAGTGATGTTGTGCTGACATTCTGCTTGCAGGCTTCACAGAGGCACCTGGTCGGCCACTGAGAAGAGGGTGCTGGCCCAGGTGGATCATTGGTCTGATCCAGCAGGCACTTCTTATGTTGGCCTTTGGCTCTTCTTGCATTCTTATGTTCTTAAAAGGTAAAGGTAAAGGGACCCCTGACCATTAGGTTCAGTCATGACTGACTCTGGGGTTGCGGCGCTCATCTTGCTTTGTTGGCCGAGGGAGCTGGTGTACAGCTTCCAGGTCATGTGGTCAGCATGACTAAGCCGCTTCTGGTGAACCAGAGCAGCGCACGGAAACGCCGTTTACCTTCCCGCCGGAGCCGTACCTATTTATCTACTTGCACTTTGACGTGCTTTCGAACTGCTAGGTTGTCAGGAGCAGGGACTGAGCAACCAGAACTCACCCCATCACGGGGATTCGAACCGCCGACCTTCTGATCGGCAAGTCCTAGGCTCTGTGGTTTAACACACAGCGCCACCCACGTCCCTCTTATGTTCTTAGTACAGCCATAACACATGCTCCACTTCTCTTTCCCAGAGGGTGGCAGCATCACCACGATAAACTGGCTGGGGAATTTCGAACATCTGGCTAGTGCAAAAGATAGGCACCGCTTCAAAACAGGCAGTTCAAATTCTTGTCAATCAAGGATGTAGTGCTAGAAGAAGGAATTGCGGGATACATTTACTACTGTAGAAGTGAATTTTGCAGCAGCAACAAAAATAAAATTAAAGTTTTTTTCCCCCAGAGTTGACATAATATTGCACATTGCCTTAATGCTGCAAAAGAACGAAATCTTGACCTTGAGTTAAATTCACAGAACAGGAAGTATTTTTTGGAGTTGCTTTCTAAACAGTTCTTTTTGAATCTCATTTGTCAACAAGTTCACTAATTTGCTATTGATTTGTTTCATAAAATGTGTACACAGCTTGATTGTAAAACGAACACACAAACAAACAAACCTCAAAGTGGTTTACAAATGGCAGACAGCTTCACTGAAAGAAAGCTTACTTACGTCATTCCTTTGCCGTTACAGCTCCATTGGCTACTAGAGAAACTTGACTGGCTCCCTTCTTGTTTGTCCCTCCACTGACAGGGGAAGACTTTCCTGTTTTTCGCATGGTTTTCATAGATTTTATATATGTTTGTAGTTATGAATTCCATTCATGTTGTTTTTAAATTATAGTTTTTCTGTGTTTTTAGCAGTTCTTATTTTTATTTGTAAGCTGCCTTGTCAGAGAAAAAGGCACTGTGTCAATAAATATAATAATTCACCACCACCCATCTTCCTTTGCCACTGGTTGGTACCATCAGGACAGGACTTTGAGCCCCACTCAGGGGAATTAGCAGGAGGGCCTCCAAACACAGCAAGACTGGCTTTCCACATTTTGAAGTAAGTGAAGTAAGGTGGCATTGCCACCTAAAGAATATTCTCCTCACACAAAAACGACTAGTCATAGTCTAAAATTCTTTAGCTGTGCCCTGGTGCTCTCAGCTCATGTAAAACAAGGATGAACCCGAAAGGTTTGTGCTCCCAGAATTATCTGCACCGTGCATTTGATATGCCTTCTTGGTGACAAAAGTGGCATTTCCTAGTGGCATTTCCCCACTAGGTGTGGGGAGTGGGGGAGAAATGTGGTTCAATTCACATTTGAAGGCAAACCTACTCCCTAATTAACACTTTCCTAAACACTCTGTGTACTGAAATACAATAATCCTTCAAACTTTGCTCTGAATTCTGCAATGCAGTTCTTCAGCCAAAGTGCTGAAATGTATGTTATGTACTGAAGTTCTCACCCTGGGCCAGCAGAGGGTACTGTAGATAGTTTTCATTCAGGTCCACATATGCAAATAAGGGATTGAAAGTGATGTTCAGTGATTGGATAGTTACAGAAAGTTGTTACAGTAGCGTTGTACTGGAGCTCCATATAAGCAGGCTGGCTGAACCCTTCAGTTCAGTTCTGTTCTGGCTTGTGAATAAAGAAGAGCTGTTTGAAGAATTGCTGTGTCTTCTGATATGTTCACCCACAACTTAACAGTATACACTAGGGTAAAGTGTGCATATATACAGAAGGGAAAACAGCTTTGCAAAAGTGCGTGTCTTAGGCAAAATGGCATAAGAATATGTGTATTATGAGAAATTTGCAATAAAATGCTGGTGAAATTTCATGGGGATTTTTTTAAAAAAGACTATTTGCAAACTGATGCGGAAATGTGGAGAACTGATGACTGGAAAAATCAGCAGCCAAAATTGACATTTTTGCCTATCCCTACTCCGAATTGCCACAGGGATTCTCCCTCTCCATTTTGTGTTTAAGCAATGATTGAAGCCATTTTTATTTGGATAGGCTTTTAATGTTTAACTTTTCTGCTCTTTTGGGAATTTTCTGGCGACTGCCGTTCAGTTTTATGATCAGGTCTGATATGGTTTTTTATTACAATTGCTACTCCCATGTTTTATTGCTGCCATTTCACTGAGTGACATGTTATTTGGGGGTTTAAATTGCATTTTGCAAATCATTCTGCATAAGCTGCTTTGAAAGGTATGTAGAAAAATGGGTAAGGAATAATGACAATGAATATGATAATCCATCTATAGCTAATGCTCAGAGTGCGAGTGCTGTTGTTCATGGAGCCAAAACAACAACACCTACACTCTCTGTAGACCGGGAGGAATTCCAAAAGTTGCAGAAATATTAAAATAAAAAATGAGGAGAAAGGACCCCGGGCAGGGCAGGGAGTGGGGCCTAAACAGCCTTATGAGGTCTAAGTGGGCATGAAACACTGACTGGACTACAGGGTGGAAGTTGGATAACTTGAGAGAGAGTTTGTGAAAGCAGTGGAGTGGCTGGAATCCCGAACAGCAACATTCGTTACTGCAACATTTTGCTGCGGATCCTGCACATTATTTGAAAAGGATTCTTGTAAGGAAGAAAACTGGAAAATCATCCTTTCTACTCTCTGCCTTGGAAGTCATAGGTTAGCAAGGCCAGAGAAAGCTCAACAGTAATAACGGCCCGACATCCTGTTTCCATAGTGGCCAACCACATGGCTATGGGAAGCTCAGGAGGACCTGAGCACACCTGTGGTTTCCAGCCACTGGCATTCAGAGCCATACTGCCTCCAACAGTGGAGGGAGAACACATCTATCATGGCTAATAGCTGTTGATAAGTAAGGAAATATAGATAGATAGATAGATGATAGATAGATAGATAGATATAGAGATATATAAATAATTCAAATACAGTGGTACCTCGGGTTACATATGCTTCAGGTTACATACGCTTCAGGTTACAGACTCCACTAACCCAGAAATAGTACCTCAGGTTAAGAACTTTGCTTCAGGATGAGAACAGAAATCGCACGGCAGCAGCAGCAGGAGGAGGCCCCATTAGCTAAAGTGATGCTTCAGGTTAAGAACAGTTTCAGGTTAAGAACAGACCTCCAGAACGAATTAAGTTCTTAACCCGATGTACCACTGTACAGGAGCTGGTGGGGGCTTGAAGTTGCCCATCCACAGTTAGAAGCACCTGGACACAGACACAGATCACATGGGCACAGTCTTCCCCACTTGGGTGAGATGTGTTGTTTTTCTATTTAAATTGTAATAATTATCTCTACGCTGGTATCTGTATGTGTAAATCACCACATGCAAATCAGTGTCTTTTGCCATTTTATAGTTACGTTTCCTCTTTTTTGACAGAGCATGAGCTGCCACCCTACTAGAGGGCCTCGGGTGTCTACAGGAGTCACCACTTGAAGAGATGCCCTAGACATAGGGGACTTTGTTCTGCAGACGATGTGTTTTATTTAGCTATCATGAGGACAGGACAGTCCTAACCTTCACCTGATGCACTTTAGTCAGTGGAATCAGGGTCCAGCTGACGCATTTTGACCTGGTAATGGCAAAAACCTTGCTTACAGGGCAGTGTCCTCTGTAATGTGTAATTCTGGTGCCAACAGAAAAACAGCCTGTGTTTCTAACCCCTATCTAGATATGCACAGGCGGGGAATTTCTACCTGAACTGAATGCTAGGTCAACATTATCTGTGTGTCCCCCAGTTGGATTTTTCCCATTCCTGTGCCTAGAAAACTCCACCATTGCCACCTGACCCAGCCAACTTCAGCTCAAGCAAAAGGAGCACTCTGGACACAGGGCTAAAGTCCATTCCCATCATGCCTGTTTGTTTTCATAGCTGCAGGACATGGCAGGCTGTTTGCGCTAAGCCCAGCCAAGGCCACAGTTCCTGAACATTTTGGCCTTCGGTGACAGCACTGCATCTGTGGCAATCCGCCATGGTGGCCTTGTATCGGGAAAAGCAGAGCGAGGCCTGCCTTGTGTTTGTGCTGTGGTAACTCATAGGCTGAGCGATGGCTATGACTACTTCTATAGCCTTGTTTTCCTGCAGCACAGGTGAGAGGCGTGCAGGGCAAACTAAGACAATCATAAATCTCATTAGGTGAAATAGAGCTTCTAAGTAATAGGACTGGTGAGCAGCAGCAAACTTTCCTAAGGGAAGGAACGTAAGAGCTCTACTGGATGTTGTTCTCAGTGGCCAACCAAAAGGCTATGTAAGTACACAATCAGGACTTGAGTACGACAGCTGAGAGTTAGTTTAAAAGACAATGCCAGTGTTAGGTTAGTGTTTAGGATTGCAGTTATGAGTTATGCAACACTGATAGTAAGCAGTGGGCTGGAGAGGGAGTCAGAGAGCAACATCTGAGAGCAATGATTGGGGTCTGCTTTAGTCAGAGGCTGCTGTGGCTATGGGAGAAGCCAGAACCTCTTGGGGTGTGAATGCTGTGAACTCCTCCATCGTAGGCTCAGGTTGTATATATGTGTAAATAAACCATATATCATAAAGACACCATAATCTCTGCTGTGCCTCATTGTCCAAAAGGAAACACACAAACCCTGAGTAACTGCCTGGAACCCCTGGAATCTCACACTGCTGTGTGGTGTATAACAATACATAACCATCATGATGACTAGTAGCCACTCCTCACCTTGCCCTCCATGAATATGCCTCATCCCCTTTCAAAGTTTTCCATGGCCATCACTACATCTTCTGGCAGAAAATTCCATAGTTGAACTGTGCCCTACATGAAGAACAACTTCCTTTTGTCTATTCAGAGTCTCCCACAATTCAGCTTCATTGGGTTAGCCTGAGTTCTGGTCTTGAGAGGGAAAGCCTCTCCACAATGGAATGCACCTCTGTCATGTTCTCCTGTCCTCGACCAGCTAAAAAGTCATAACCTTTCTTCCCAGGGGAGTTTCTCTAGGCCCCTGATCATTTTGGTTAGCTGTTTCTATATCTCTTCCACTTTTTAAACCTCCTCCAAGTGAACCCAAGATGTATACAATGTCGTTCTCATTTTGCCTTGCAAACTTTGAAGTTGCTGTGGGAATAACACACAACACACACACATCGACTGTGTATGCACCATACTTTTAACACACATTTAAAGCACATGGCTTTACACAAAGAATCCTGACAAGTGTAGTTTACTGCCCACAGTTACAATTCCCTTCAGCCCTTAAAGTGCCCAGAATTCTTTGATTCAGGTAGGTAGCCGTGTTGGTCTGACGAGTCAAAATAAATAAATAAAATGTCCAGTAGCACCTTAGAGACCAACTTAAAATTCTTTGAGTGAAAGAATGTGCTTTGAGTGTGCTTTAAGTGGTATAAAACTTTTAAAGACACAATCTAAAAGGCAAAAATAGGAGCTCTAGAGGGACAATGGTTTACTGGGGACAGGTATAACCAGGGAAATTTCATGGTAAAACAGTTGAGGTGAACGTATTAGACTTGGATGTAAACATGTTAGATTCAGGCTGTACATTTCTTAGCAACTTTTTAAATTGCACATATCTTCTAACTTTTACAAACGGGAATGACCGCTTGTGAACTAAAGTTGGCTTTAGGCCTAAATCTATAGACTTTAACCCTTGAAGTCTGTGGAATAGAAGGTGTTTCTCTCTGATGACCTTGCCTTGCGCAATTTCCTGCATTGTTGATTGCTCCATAGGAAGGGCTTTAGGTGGACTTCCCCAGATGGATTGTTTTTATCCTGCTTTGAAGATCAAAGGAGCCCCTGAATGCTAATGCTGAAATAAAGCAAAATCACAAGACTGGAGAGAGCCAGGAAAGATGTGGATTCCTAGCACTCCATGTCTTTCCATCTACAACAAAAATGGAAAACAGTATCTGGCCCTCCAGATATTGTTGGACTCCAGTTCCCATCAGCCCCAGCCACCATGACCCATGGTCACTGAGCGTGGGAGTTGCAGATCAACAAACATCTAGAGGGCCACAGGAACCCTAGTTCTGACCTAGAAGCTCATGACATGAAGATCCAATTATCTGCAATCCTAAACACCTTGTCTGTAGGGCTCATTTCTGAGCAAGTATGAATAAGATTGTGCTAAAGTACATTTATTGTACAATACGCATTTATTTATGGCATAGCATGGTGGCTAAGAGACTGAGCTACAAACCACGGGGACCCTGTTCTAATCTTTCATTTACTATAAACTCACTAGGTGGTGTTGGTGGTTGCCAGGATGGGCATACGTTATTTTCATTTCAGTTGTACATTTGGGTGTGATTAATTCTCCTACCACCACCACCTTCTTTTTGAAAAGGACACATTACTTAACTACCTCCCTGTTGCTTTTAAAGATACAATATTCAGGAATTCTAAAACTGAAGAGCTGGAGAACATCAGACTCAAAGCACGTTTAACGTTTGTTGTGCGAGGCAGTGAGCAGCCCTGGATTGAAATGTGCAGTGTCAAGAAACTTGGCACTGCACATTTGACGACCTTGGGCCAGGGCCAGTTAAATCTCCACTTACAATACCTCGCAGGGTTGTTGTGATGACACTCTGGGTTTATTGGAGGAACGTCAAGATGCAACTTTAATAAACAGATAAAACGCATGCAAGCAAGGCTTAGCCGTTCTCAACCTGTGAGTCCCCAGAAGTTGTTGGACTACAACCCCCATCATCCCTGAGCTCTGGACTTGCTAGGTGGGGGTGATGGGAGTTGTAGTTCAACAACATCTGGGGACCCACAGATTACAGCGCAACCCCACACGCCTGCTCAGGAGTAAACCCCATTGAGTTCAATGGGGTGAACTCCCAAGGTAAGCGAGTACAGAGGTCCCGCCTTAAATCGTTATTTCAAGCCACAAATAAACACCAAGCCCCGGTGCGCCCAACGTGGGAGCTTTAGACTCCGCGTGCGCCCGGAATGAACGAGAGCTTTCTAGAGCTTCCCGTCGTCCTTCGCGCGCATCGGAAACCGGTAACCACGGAAACGGACGCCAAACGGAGCCCAACACCGCCACCAACGGTTCGTCCCCTGACCTTCCCTTTTATCTCTGATTGGACGAAACCCTTGCCAGTTAACGCAGAGAAGCCGGCGGTTGGTCAGAAGCCTGCCGAGGAACGGGTTCGGCGAGTGCGCGCTGTTTCCGCTTCCGGGGGCGCCGCTGACGGAGCGTGCTGGTAACTGAGGAGCGAGGCCGGAGCGTCTGTGGTCGAAGCTGAAATAAGAGCGAAGCGGCTAAGCGGGCGATGGGGGCCAGCGGGGAGGATGGGACGGATAGCGAGGAGCGCTTCGACGGCATGTTGCTCGCGATGGCCCAGCAGCACCAAGGCGGCGTCCGGGAGGTAAGATGGAGGGCAGGAAGGGAGGCCCTTCATCCGAGTTCTCCTCCCGCTCCGCCGTTTAACGGTCTCCCTTCCTGGAGTCTCTCTTTCGCGAACCCCCTCGCTGGCCCAGCCGCCTTTCCCCCTCATGATTTCCCTTCTCTCCGAGTACCGTTTGCTGGTGAAGAGCAGCAGGCGACAGCTGCTGCCCGCATGTTAAAAACACCTGCCATGAAATGCAGCTGATGGCCACCAAATTGGATGACTTCACCTTCCTTTTTCCCTCCCCTGCATCTCCCCACACCTCCTCCAAATATGCTCCAGAGAAGTGGGGAATCTCTGGAGCAATTCTTTTGGACATGTGTGGTGAGGGCTGCAGGGTTGCTCCAGGAGAGAGAGGCAACATCTCGTCGATCCCCCCCCCCCATTACTTTAACCCACTGTGTTCTGACACTGTTTTATTATTTCTTCTGGGTCAAATTTATGGTTCATCTAACTAGTAGCCTGTCTCTAGGAGATGCGTTGATAGCCAGCATAGTACTCACTTTGTTGCTTGACATAATGGAAATGTGTGAATGCCTTCCATTAGATCTTGGGAGAGTTCCATAAGCACCATGAAAAAGTTTGAAATGGTACCTTCAAAATACAGGCACACACACCTCTTAGTGCATTCTACCCATCTGCAACTGCATATAGGCACAGTGCCAGGAAATAAATAAATAAATAACTTTAATCCTACCAGGAAATGGCAGGAGAGAGCTGGAGAGTCCTCGTGGCTTGTGAGAAGACCCTCCCTGGAGCCCGAAGAGGATGTCACTGAAAGCTGAGGATGCCCTGGAAGCACAGCTGGGCTTTGTTTAGGCTGCTCAGCCTCCCAGCCTGACAGCTGCTTTTCTGCACAGCCTCCATCTGCCCCCAGAGCTTCAACTTTAGATATTTTGGTCTGGATTGGAGAGCAGGGGGAAATAGGCATTTAGAGGGTGTTCCCCACTTTATATGATTTCACTTATATGTGTGGAGGTCCGGAAAGTATTCTCTGCATAAGTGTGGGAATGCCTGTATGTGCTTCTGTGCAATGTAGAAAGCACCTGTTTAGACAACACAGTAGGCTTTTTGCATAAGACCACCCTTCAGTATTGTGTGATGCTGATTTATGACATAGGAAATTCCTGTGTTTTAATGAAAGATAACAGCATAGACCCTAAAAATCCATTTCGTGACAAGAATCCAACATCTGTTGCCATTCAAGGATACAAAATGTTGATCTAAGTGTGCCATAAACAGACAGCAAAAGGTGTTAAGATCACATGTACGGACATCATTGTAATACACTTAAGTTTCATAAAGCAAAAGTTTCCAGTTTCATTTATATTGACCTCTATAGAAAACAGTTTCCCGTTATAATATTAAAACTCATGGTCACCTAATAAAGTTGGCTAATAACAGGTGTGGGACTGGTCAAAAGAACTGTTTTCCAAAATAAATTTATAGGATGATGGTCACAAGCTTAGATAGCTTTAAGGAGGATTTGGCAAATTCATGGAGCAAAAGCCTGTTACTATTAGCCATGATAGGTAAATGGAAGCTCCATATTTTGTATGGGTGGGGAACCCATGATCCGTCAACTATTGCAATGCCAACTTCCATCAACTCCAGCAGCCAGAAATGGTGGCAATTTTAGTTCTGTAACATCTAGAGGGATACTGGCCCCACACCTCTGCTCTATAGAGCCAGTATCGGAATACTTTATGCTGGAGAGAAAGCCTGTTTCACATTCTGCTTGTAAGCACCTAAGTGACATCTGCCTTGCTGCTGGTTCCTAGGTTACATGGACCTTAGCCTATTGAAGTCCTTAGAAACTGTGACCATAGCTAGCTTCTAGATAATTATTGATTTTTGAGCCAAACAGTGGTTTTCCATCTTCTGGGTTGTTGGGCTTGATAATAAAGCAAATCACACTGCAGTTGAGTAACGTGATTTGCTTCTGGGGTTGATGGGGATTGGTATCTAACAACAGTTGGAGGGCGATGGGTTTCCTGCTGTTATGGAATATGGAGCTTCCATTTAGCTATCATTATGGTAAATAGTGCTTTGCTCCATGAATTTGCCAAATCCTTTTTAAAAGCTGACTAAGTTTGTGGCCATCACATCATCTTGCAGTGGCAGTCAATCTTATATATATATATTGTGGAAAAAATATGAATTAAAAACAAAATTATTTGTCCAACTAGCCAACTTCTTCCTTGCCATATTTTGTTTTTGCACATCCTCTTTGAGAGCTTCAGTTCCCATTATGTATAACCTAACAAGAACAGAAAGGTATGTAAGAAGGCATTTAGCATTTTGACATCATGAAAGCAAAGTTTGATAGTGAAATATTATTAGCAGCCATTAATATCATATATTGCATTGCTACTGAAACAATATTGGGAGCTCTTTTACAAATCAGATCACTTGTAAGAGACATTGAATTTTTAAAGAGCATATTCCTCATTGTGGAGTTTGGAACAAGTTCTTGAAAACATTGTATCCTTTCCTTACAGCTTGTGAACACCTTTTTTAGCTTCTTGAGGCGCAAGACTGATTTCTTTGTAGGAGGAGAAGAGGGTGCTGCTGAGAAGGTATCCTGTTTATCAGTTGTTGTTAAATTTATAATAATAATATAACAATTTATTACTTATACCCCGCCCATCTGGCTGGGTTTCCAACCAGCCCTTCACCAGCAGGTCCCAGAAATGGTTGCAGCAATTTAAAATTCAGAATTAAAAACAGCCACAGCAGAGCAGTCACAGGTATAACGTGGGTCCCAATAAACACACGTCTCAGTTGTGAAAGGCCAGGAGCATATACACATCTGCAGATGACACTACTAACAACCTTTTTGGAGAGTGGAGAGGTTGTTTGGTTGTGATTTTTTTTGGCTGCTGTTTGAACAAAGGCTAGCTTCAAAAGCAAGCATGCTGAGATGTACTGAGTTAACTCCAACAGACACCAATGGATCAATAATTCCAGCTTGCTCTGTTTGTTCACTCCTAGAAAAGCACTAAAGTCCACTTCTGCAGTGGTAGCTTTTCCCCTGCCCCCAACAGAAAAGTTTGCTTAACAATGTGAGAAATGCTGCTGGTGATCTTAGATGCTATGTGATTATTTAGTTCCTTTGCTAATTTTAGGAGGGGAAGCATATGACATAGCCTACCTTTAGAATTTGACAACTCTTACTTCATCTTCTAGTGAATGTAAGAACTTCAGAGAAATCTGTATATCCCCCCCCAAAAAACAAGGAATTAGATTAAATAAAATCAATCTACATAGAAATGTGGAGGATTTTTTTAAACTACTGAGGTCTTAAATGAGGCCTTGTATAAGAAGTGAGATATTGCACCCCTCTATGCATCATTAACGCTACAGGTTGCCAGATTGCCCTTCCATTCTCTGAGACATTTTCCATGTCAGGCTATTCTTTTTGTCCTTAGAAGTTCAATCGAAGCCTGTTTCTCAAGTCAATATAAGAAGTGGAAGTGGGATTATTGCAGCAAGGTTTTCTTTTGTGTTGCATATGTTGGGGGGGAGGAATATTAATATTTAAAGTGGAGAAAACTTGAGTGATTTAAGAGTTTGGATTTTTCTTTACCTGGCAGAATCCTGATGAATGCAAGAAGCCAGTGGACATTGTGGAACAATGGTGTTAGGGACATGGAAACAGGAATTCATGTTACAGAGGAATGCTTTTCTGCTTTTTAAAAAGTTGATAAAATGAGAGGGGGGAGGTCAGTAGAAACATACGATTCAGTTACAGCTACCAGAGTCTATGCTAGCAAGTCAGATTCCATATTATGGATGGAACCAGAGATTTCTCAATTCATATCTAAGTTACACACTATCTAAAGATTGCTTCTATTTTTTTAAAATGTGAGACACAAGATTTTAATCTGTTTTTTTCAGTAGGCACAAGTCTTCAACATGTCACTGTCCAAAGGGCACGTTGGATCATGTGTTCCAATGTCAGTTCTTCTGTTCATGGCCTTTAGTTGCTGCAGCAGCTGTGAAGGTCACCCAGCAGCAGGAATTCTTAAAATTCAGTCTGTTATGCAGTCAGATGACTACATCATCTCTTGCAGCAAACATATTAGAGCCCTGACCTTCAGTCTCTCTCTTCTCCCCACCCCCCTCTCTCTCTCTTTTCCCTGAATTGTGGGCAAAGGTATTCCTGTCATTACAACTCTGGGCTCTTGGAAAAAGGGCTGATATGTTACTGCAAGTAACTTTTTTTAATGAGCCCTGATGGAAGAAAAGCTCCCTAGTTGATAGGAATCTCAAGACCTCTACTTCAGGGACCGCCTCTCCCCATACAAATTGTCCCGGACTCTGCATTCATCATCTGAGGCCCTTATTCACGTGCCTCCTTTTCTGTAGTGGCTCCCCGTTTGTGGAATGCTCTCCCCAGGGAGGCTCACCTGGCTCCTTCAGTACAGTGGTACCTTGGTTTACAAACGTAATCCGTTCCGGAAGTCCGTTCTTAAACCAAAGCATTCTTAAACCAAGGTGTGCTTTCCCATAGCAGCGGGGGACTCAATTTACACTCAACAGGAAGCGGAACATGTTCTGCTTCCAAGGCAAAGTTCACAAACCAAAACACCTACTTCTGGGTTTGCAGCATTCTTAATCCAAGTTGTTCATAAACTTAGCTGTTCTTAAATCAAGGTACCACTGTATATCTTTTTAGGCATCAGACGAAAACATTCCTCTTCAGTCAGGCCCTTGGCAGATTAATATTCTACAGCCTTCTAAGTGTGTTTGTGGGGAGGAGGCATTACAGTGGTGCCTCGCAAGACGAAATTAATTCGTTCTGCGAGTCTTTTCGTCTTGCGAAGCACGGTTTCCCAAAGTCTTCAAAATCACCAAAGTCTTCAAAAAAGGCTACCACACCGCGTGCTATGAGTTGCTCCTCGAAGTCACCCTGGGTATTAATGGTTTTAAGAAAAAGGAAACAAACTTGCAAGACGTTTTTGTTTTTTTCATTTTTCGTCTTGCAAAGCAAGCCCATAGGGAAATTCGTCTTGCGAAGCAACTCAAAAAATGAAAAACTCTTTCGTCTTGTGAGTTTTTCGTCTTGCGAGGCATTCGTCTTGCGAGGTACCACTGTATTGTTTTGTTGTTTCTGTTTTAATTATTTTCTTGTATTTTATCTTGTATTTTATTCTGTGAACATCCCTGAGATCTTGTGATGAAGGGTGATCTAGAAATTTAATTAATTAATTAATTAATAGCCTTTCTATAGCTAATGGTGGTCACATCATATGTCCAGCCCCATAATATATTGGCTGATGATAGAACTTGAAAGTGATATGAAAGTAATCCTGATCCCTTTTATCACCAAATGTATCAAATTGGAGGGGTGGGGGTGGAATTGATACTAAGCAGTCCCTTCCTTTGATAGAAGAGCCCACCTTAAGTTAGACCACAGTGAAAGATAAAGCCATTTTATCTACTACAGGATGCTGCTTCTTAACTAGTTTTTCACAGGATTTATTCCGTCTCCCCAGTTAATCACAGAGACATTCAGTCGCCACAACAAGCTGGCTCTGAAAGCACAGAAAGAGAAGAAGGCCCGTCAAGAGGCAGAAAAGCGGGAGAAAGCAGAGCGTGCTGCAAAACTTGCCAAAGAAGAAAAACAGGAAGAAAGTGAGCCAAGGATTAAAGAACTGACTGAGGAGGAGGCAGAAAGGTTGCAACTGGAAATTGACCAGGTGTGAATCCCATTTGTTGTAACTGGATCTTCACTGTAATGGAAGAACAAGTATATTGCTTATGTCTGGCTTGATAGGTTATCAGTGGCTTTCCATTTGTTTGAAGACTGCATTTAACCAACCATGAAAGCATCAACTCCTATAGAATTATTTTGATACTGTCTTAGAATATCTCTAATCAGTTCCTTCTCTTTGCTTATGTTGTAAGCCATAGCACTTCCCAGACCTTTATATATTCTGTATCTGGAAATTCCCCACAATGTTCCACAAGGCAAAATCATCACAACTACTTATAATGCTTTGAAGTAGCAAAAAGCCCTCTCCCCCCCCCCCCAGCCGCTTTGAACTAACAAAGGGGCAGGGTGCTACTTCTATTAACAGTAAATAACATTTCACAGACATTTGTAGTTCTCAACTGTTATCTTCTAAAACAGAAAAAAGAGAAGAAAGAAAATGAGGCCCAAGGTATCCCTTCCAAACCTGCTGAGAATCCAGTAGAATCTCCCGAGTCCAGCAAACAGGTAATTTATTCTCAGAAGTTTTTGAAACTTGTGAACAGATATTGGTTCCCATCTTAAACCTACATTGGTTTAAGATGGTTTTTGGTTGTGGATGCTCACACAATATGCTTACCAGAATAGAATTATAGGGTTTATACACGTGAACCTCTGGCGAACCTCTGGATTGCTTTGTTTCAAAGAACTCACATAGGAGTTGTTGAGGCCTTAGAACTATTCAAAACTAAATTCATGAGCAAGATAATCTTTCAAGAAGGTTCATGCAGAACCTCTGAACCACCAATTATACAGAAGATGCAACAGGCAGGAAAAAGACTACATGAATTTAGCTTGCTAAAAGTTGAACACTAAGAAGTATTTTTACTTTTTGCTGTGTTTTGTCTAGGATACAGATGAGGAGGAAGAAGATGAGAAGGACAAAGGCAAGCTTAAACCAAACTCTGGGAATGGGGCAGACCTTCCAAACTACAGGTGGACACAGACCCTCTCTGAACTGGATGTAAGTATAGGGTGTTTTTTTTAAGAACATGAGATGTTTTAACTAGGTGATAAACTTAATGATGAGTCATAAAAAGACAAGTCTGTCCTGCATTGATTGTTAAGGGGGGGAAATACAGACGGGCGGTGAATAACATTGGGAGTTGGTCTTTCTGGGTCTCAGTCTTGTTAATTAATGACTGTTTCAGACCATACTAGTTTGGGACACAGAATCAGTTCCAGAAAGAAAAAACTTGGAGACCTGATATAGCATCTGTGGCGGAATAGATTGCCGCAAGTAACAGTTAACAAATTGTCCGTACCAGAGGTTTATATGTGTGGATTCAATGCACCCTCTTGCTCCTTCTCCTGTCTAGCTGGCCGTCCCATTTAAAGTCAACTTCAGGCTGAAGGGTAAGGATATGTTGGTCGACATACAGAGACGGCACCTGAAGGTGGGACTAAAGGGCCACCCACCTGTGATTGATGAAGACTTATATAACGAGGTGAAGGTGGAGGAGAGTTCATGGCTGATCGAGGATGGGAAAATAGTCACTGTGCATTTGGAGAAGGTAACAGCAAAAGCTTCAGGCCATTTTCATGCCTAATTTGGGTAGAGTTGTAAATTCTTGAATGTGCTGCTTGTTCCGTCCAGTTGAAGAGGAGCTTGAAAAACTGAGCTGGCAATCGGAATACTACTTTTTATTTTGTCTGATCATGCAAATCAAATGGGCTACCATGCCACAGTGAGCCACAAGGCCAGGATGTTATCTGAAAATCTTTGGTCACCTCCCTTTCCATCCCACGTCCCCTCCCTCATCCCCTGCTTTTCAGAGAAGGTACTCTTTTCCGTGGAATGCTCTCACCAGGGAGGTTCACCTGGCACCATCATTGTATATATTTAGGCACTAGGCGAAAACATTCCCCTATGACAAGGCCTTTGGTCTTAAACTATCTGCAGCCTTTTAGAAGTGGGTGATATTTTTAAAATCTGTTTCTGTTTCCTCTTGGCTTTACTGCCTTTTTGGTTGTAAATTACTTTGGGTTGCCCTAACCTAGACTAACAACTTTAATGAATAACGCTGGTTGTAAAAACATTTCATTCTGCAATCTTGTTTCTTTTAGATCAACAAGATGGAATGGTGGAACAAGTTAGTCCAAACAGACCCAGAGATTAACACCAAGAAAATTAACCCAGAGAACTCAAAAGTGAGTGCTTTTCCTGCTCAGTTGTGGTCATGCCCTGCTTGTGGGCTTTCGACAGGCATCATTTCATGCTCTTAATTTTTTATTTAAAAGGATGAGTGACAGCTTCTTGTTTCATGGAACAAGCACATATACTATTCATCTGGAGAGTTCATCACTGGGTCAGAACAGAGGAAGCTGTCTTCTATCAGATCAGACCATTGGTTTATCTAGCTCAGTATTGTCTATACTGATTGGCAGCAGCTCCCCAGGGTCTCAGACTGGGGTCTTCTCTAGCCCTTCCTAGAAATGCCATGGATTGAACTTTTGCATAGAAAGCAGATGCTCTACCACTGTCCTTTCCCGATGTATTTCCCACAATGAATACTTTTCCTTGGTTTAAAAATTGTCAAGACTTTTGTGCCATCTTCAGTGGGTGAACTCATAGAACACAAAGTCATTACACACAATCCTGTGGTTCTCAGAGGTTGGTGTGCTTCCGTAAAGAGGCACAGGTTTCTTCTTTTATATGCTGCTGCCAGCAATGGTTCTGGCTGCTCAGCCCGTGACTCAGAGATCCTTGGTATGCATGCTGCCAGGAAGGCAGCAGCTAGAAAGTGCTGAGAAGGGAAGGGCTGGGGTGTGAATCTCAATGATTCCCAGCACCATGGTGAAACCACATTGCTTTGTTCCCACTGCAACCAGTTATCAGATCTGGACAGTGAAACCCGCAGCATGGTGGAGAAAATGATGTATGACCAGCGGCAGAAATCAATGGGCCTCCCCACATCTGATGAGCAGAAGAAGCAGGACATCCTGAAAAAGTGAGTAAGAGCAGTTTGTGTGTCTCATGGGGAATATGAGGGGAAAGTATGAAGGGTCGCTCTCTGAGCACAGATATCTGCATTTGTGCATTGCTGTACCACCAAATTACCTGTACCCTTGATAGTTTAAAATTCAAAATCAGTAAAATATCCATATAGTCAACAGCATCACAAACCAACCCACATCTTGGTGGCCAATGAATGCAAGAAGTCCTTGTTGGTGAGAAATGGCTCAGCTATAGTTCAGCTCTAGGTCCAGGGAGTAGGGCACTGTCCAGGAACAAATGACCTGGCAGTACCATCTCGGCTTTTATCAATTATGTGGTGTGTAACTATAATTTCCTCAGAGCCAGATTGCTTAACCTCTTTCACCCCAGCAATAGATGGATCGCTAGACATTCATTTATAGCTTTATTGCCCTGTTTGGCAGAGGTTGCCTATATGCTTCTGTGAGTAATTATCCTGTTAAGGCCATGCAGGGTGATGCTTCCTGCTCTCTGGGTTGGAAAGAGGGTAACTACAGGGCACACAGCTACCTACCTGGCAGTACCATCTCTGCTTGGCGCAATTACGTGCTGTGTGACTAATCGCCATGTGCTTCAAAGCCAGAACAAGAGGCTGATCACAATAGCAGCATCCATAGCCTCAGAATGGTTCCACTGAAATTAATGGGTATGACCAGCTGAGAGTTATACATTTCAGTGGGTCTACTCTGAGTAGAACTGAGGTGCTATGCACTGTCTTAATATTGGCAAGCATCAAATGCAGCAGCATCTGCTTCTGTTACCTGTAGAGCTTTGTTCAATGCTTCAAAAGAAGTCTTTAGTGTTGCTGATGAGCTAAGAATTTGCACTTTACTCAAATATATGTCCAAGTCAAAAACAGGGTCTTTTTCAAGATTTCCACCATGAATCCTATTTTCCCTTCACTGCTGCTAATGGCTGTAATGGTAAGGAGGCTGATTTAAATAATAGTTTAGCTGCTTCACATCTGAGCTCATTGACTTTGGGCCAAACAATGAGAGATGGGCATCCTGCTACATTTCTATGCTGGGCAATGATTTTTATCCTCTGGCAGCCTACCTGGTTGCTTTGCTGGATACTCAATCACCCATGCACGGTTTTTTGCTGCCTGTGGCTGTTAGACAAATACAGGCTGATAGTTTTAAGATTGCCAGTCCAGAATGACTTGCCAGGTGACAAATGTATGGAACCTGGTAACTTGGAAGCATACAATCTCTTTGCTGTTGCTCACTAGCACAGACCACCCAGCTACCTGCCTGTTTTGCCAGACTCCGCATGTGTCCAGTGGAGTGATTTTAAGGCAGTGCTTTGAACTTCATCCCATCAATTGGGCAATGTATAAAGATCTAACTTGCAGAATCGTCGTTCATCTGTATCTTTCATGTGCTTGATGCACCTTAACCCACTTTTCCCTTCAGTCCCCTTCCATATATTGTTTCACCACCACCACATTTTCTCTTCATTTGAATGTTAATGTGTTTATATTCTTTCTTTCATTTATAACTGGAGAATTGCAAAAATATAATCTAAAGAACAGATTTGTCACCAAAATAAACAAGGGCATGAGCTAAGTGCTGCATAAAAGATTGAATACTTCTGTGTAGTGTTCCTGACATGGTTTTGGTGGTAAAGAGACCCAAGTCAGAGCAAATCTTCCAGAAAGATCTGAAGCCTGACTTTTAAACATGTTTTTCTCTAAGGTTCCCCTTCAGTCCATGGTGTTCTTATTGCACAAACAGAAATGATGTTTGCATAGACTTGAAAACTCATTTCTATAAGCCAGGTGCTACGTGTCTGAACTGAAGCTAATAGTTCCCAAGGGCACGTTAGATTAATTTGTCGTTCCTCATTTACAACTGTAGTACGTCGTTATGGGGCAATATTACTGATACTGCTAATGGGAGACTTAAGGCAGCATTATAGGCTACAGTTAGTCAGAGTCATAATGATATCAGGGTCACCTGTGATGTTCCAAAACAGGGTGGAGGGTGGTCTTACAGTAGCTTAATGACCTTAATAACCAGTATGACAGCTGCCTGCATTTAAGAGGCTGCTTTATTTTTCAGATAATGGCCCAGGGGCCAGTAGTGTGTTTTCCTTCACAGACTCTTTCACAAGTATATACCAGTTGCTGAGAATCACACGTGGGGAAAAGAATGTTGTGCTGCAGTCCTGCTTGTGGACTTCTTATTGGCATCTGGTTGGCCACTGTGAGAATGGAATGCTGGACTAGGTGGGCCTTTTCCCTGAGCCAGCTGGTTAGACTGCATAATGAAGTTGACATCATGTAGCAGTGAGGGCATCTTCCTAACACTGCACATGTACTCAAACATGGCACGATATGCAACAACCAAAATGGGTAGCATCAAAGTGTGGGATCTGTTTTCAGCTTGATGCAATTCCTCAAACCCCCAGTGGTGAAACATCAACCAATAAAACACGAGGCTGGTGGACCATAATAAAAACAATGTATTTTTTTTAAAAAACAAAGCATCTGTCAACCAAAACTGTAACTCTTATAAACTGTCTTGAAACCCCAGAGTGTACAGTAGCATACAAGAGCTATAAATAAATGCTGAAAGCAGCAACACAATCCTGATTTTTTAAGTAAATTCATTTTTACCTGGCAAGTGAAACTCAAGAGTAGGTACATGGTCCTAGGGAGGGCAATACTGATTTTCACGTACTCATAACATTGCCTTGCTGATCCTTCTTTCCTAGCTTTTTCAGCTAATGTGTGCTTCTTTCATATTTACAGGTTCATGGAACAGCATCCAGAAATGGATTTCTCAAAAGCAAAATTCAACTGATATGGTTGGCCTTTTTCTTCCCTCCCCCCCTCTAAACTCATTAGGATAAAATATAAATGAAAATAAATCAGCAGGACAGTATAGTCGTTTCACCCAGCCCTGGGACTGCTCACATCACCTCAGAGTGAATTTTCTGTGTAAAAAGAGCTGCACTGGTTAATCCATGTAGCACACTGCTTACGCTTCTGGATTTTCAACAGCAGTATCAATCACCTAAGGCCCATTTTACCTTTGCACAGGGAAGAATATTTCAGGGAGAGGAAGGAGTGATGGGAAAAGGGAGTACTTGATGGAATCAGATTGTCCCTTGGTTCTTGCTTAGTGTCTAGGAAGTATCATTTAAAATACAATAATTTAAGTAGCAAGAGAGACACTCAGCCTTCATCATCCTCTACTCTCCCAGCTCCTGCTCTTGAAATCAGAGCTGAAAGTCTTCCTGCAGCCTTCCTTCTACAAACAAAGCAACCCCTGCAGACTTCTAATTCAGTGCAACAATGCTGAGCATTTTCAGACATTGCAAGAAAAACTACTGACAAATTTGATCCACAGGTGTCTCATGCTTGTTGCACTTGCACCATTGTCCCCAAGGAATAGCTTGTGTTGGAGTGATAAGCACTTCACTCAAGAAAGTTCCCATTAGACGTTAAAATGAAAGCACGAGAAGCAGCTTCACAAAGCACCCATGTATCTGCTTGTCAGAACTTTCTATAACCTCTAAAGTTACCGTAGTATTTCAAGTGTTAAATTCAGAAGCTTGGAGGCAAAAGGGATAGATTGCTTTTGCATCTGTGTTTAGGCTTATGGATGGAGTGTAGGAGTATCAAACTGTTTAGGCCACATCAGAATCTGGTATATCAGTCCTACATGTTGTTCCACTTGGATCTGTCACTCAGCTGTTTCTGCCAGGCCCTAATGGACCCATTTCAGAGCTTCCGTCGTGTATATTTGCCCCAGATATTAGAGGTTTTTGCCCTTCAGAATGACTTCCTTATCCTTCCTGTTGCAATACTGCTGGTGATTTGGCCTTACATAACCAATATTTAGTAATAGGAAGGGTCTGTTAAGTGATCAGTTACTTCAAAAAGGTTGACTTGCTCTACTCTTGTTGTAGCTAAAATGAATTGATCCATACAAACAATGCTGGTGTCTAAAACTAGCAGTAGGCAAGGTTTTTCTGCTGTCAACAGACACATGTTGGATGGCAGACAGATCTCTGGTTTGTTAGAGACCAGCTGTCCACCTCATTGAAGCGACTCCACATACATTCCCCTTTCGGCATTGGACATGCCAAGCAAGAGCCTTCTGCATGTTCTATTTTTTTTGTGATGGTTGCTTTAAAAACAGCTTGTATTCTGCATGTATAAATAAAAAGGTGATGTTTTCATGTGGTGTCATGTGACTATATTCCAGTTATCCATCTACCAGAATAACTTTTGAGCCACCAGAAGGTAGCTAGCAGCTTTTACAGGGTTTATGAAGGTATGAAATATTAAAGAAAAAATGGTCCATACCTTCCTAAACTGTAATTAGAGTATTTATGAACCCTTGTTCTTCCAGTGAAGGAAGAGCAGTGACTGGGAATAAAATATAGGCAAGGGCATAGAATATACGGCATTCAAGGCAGTGCTGGTTTCGGCTGATGGGAGTTGTAGTTCTGAACACCTGGAGAGCACCAGGTTGACATAGAGTGATGTACAGCATTGTAGCCTGTCATTGTAAATAAGTTTCAGGCTGTCAGGCACCCCTCACATGCTTTGACGATGGGCTGTTCCACCCCTGCTCCCTGTGGTGCAAGCTGCAACCTTTCCCCTTTTTCCTAAGCTGACTACAGGCCATTGACCCCATTCATTTGCGCCCTGTGGCCATCCCATGACTGTTCGACTTTCCACCATGAGGCAACAGCATACAGTGTCCCTGTGCCATTGTGCTCTTTTGTCATCCTCTGAACCTTGGAATGGCCTTGGTTGTCTACTGAGCCTTGCTGGCTGGCACACAACAAAGCTTTCACCTGTTTTGTGCCTGCAGAAATGTGTTTCTCTTCCTTGCAAGTCTGATTATCCTGTCTTCTGTCCATTGACTTAGCAAGGTGTGACGAGCCTCATAGGACCAAAACCTCTGGGGTACAAGGGGGAAAGGTGCAGGTCTTCCTTCCAAGAGCCCAGTGCATTTAAAATGAAAACAAGAGAACAAAATGAGTAAAAGTGACCAAGCAGTTCAATAGCTGCCCCTCCTAATGCTGTAGAAGTAGTGTTGCCATTGTGCTTTACCTGTTCCTTTCCTCAACTGTATGTTGCTTAAACATTACAAGGCTCCAAACATTTTATTCTACAGAAGAAACTGAAAGTTTTATTAACTGTAATCATTTTCATTGGAATTGTTTAAGATTTCATCGCAGCCATGAACATTGCATGGCTTTCACTGGTATAGAATGAGGGGGCTGCAATCGGACACTCATTTTCCCCGACCCTTGTAGATGCAGTTGACACCAGCATTCATTTTCAGCCAAGAGCAGCAAAATCACTTGAGTCAGCCTCATGTGGAACCCAGACTTGCCCTTTTTTCTTTTAGTAGTAACTTACTGGCTCCTCCACCTCCCTTACTCCCTTCCTTTGTTATCAGCAAAGAGCAACTGTCTGAGTTAAACAAATAATCTGCAGATAACTTGACTTCCAGGTTGCTTGTTCCAAGGTTAGAATTTTATGAGCTGTTTTGCCACTGGGCTGTGATCAGGATGTGTTGTGTGAACTCCTTGGCAGTGACCCCTGCCATATCCTGAAACCTGATTACACACCTGAAGCCTTGGTGCCTTGGTACAGGCTGGGTTAATGACTTTGTTTATACTGATAAGGGCAATCCAGATAAGGCAGCCCTCTGAGTCTCCTGGCTCTGGCTGGCACCTTCATTGAGAAAACCTTTTCTCTGTGCCACGTAGAGATGCTGCTTGCCCAACCAATTACTTTGGGACAGACTTGTTTTTCAATGAGCTGCTGCTACTCGTCAAAGGAAGGTCAAGGCCGCCGAAGGGGGTTGGTTTCATTCACCCTGCCGGGGGCCTTATAAGCAGAGCTGAGAAGCAACAGCCACCATTGCTGGAAGGACAAAAAGAGGGTGTGAAGCAAAGAGAAGGTGCCAGGTCCCTATAGCATAAAAAAGTGCCAAGAAGCTCTGCAACGGGACCGGACACGCTCAGCAGGACCAGATAAAGCATTTGCTCTTCCAAGCAGCGATCCTGCAAGCCGCCCTCCGACGTGGAGATGGAGTACGAGAGGTGTTCCTGCCACCACGAAGAGAACCAGAACGCCATCCTCTACACCCTCCTGAGCCAGAACCTGAGCCATCACAGGGGCAGCCACAGCCCTTCCCAGAAGCGTTGCTTGTGCCAGAAGCGCCGCACCGTCTGCCTCCAGACCCCTCAAGCCACCTGCCAAGCCGCGTCTGATGTCTTGGTGAAGACCATCAGCTTCATGAAGAACTTGCCTTCCTTCCAGCTCCTGCCTTGGAAAGACCAGCTCCTGCTGCTGGACAGCTGCTGGGCTCCCCTCTTCCTTCTGGGCTTGGTCCAGGAGATGGTGACCTTTGAGGTGATGGAGACCCCAGCCCCCAGCATGCTGGAGAGGATCCTCCTCGACGGCCCGTGTAAGAGGCAGGAGCTGCAGAGGGCGCAGCCCACCCTGGCCAGCGTTCAGCGTCTCCAGTGCAGCCTGAACTCTTTCTGGAGCCTGGACCTGAGCCCTAAAGAGTACGCCTATCTGAAGGGCGCAATTCTATTCAACCCCGGTAAGTGCTGCTGGACCCTCACATAGCAAAGGAGCCCTTCATAAAGGCCATTGCTTTTCATTGACAGTAGAATAAAAGGGCCAGAATCATAACAGTGCATGTTAGGGATGTGTTTTCCATAGACTGCATTCTGAGTCAAGAACTTTGAATCCATTTCATCAGATGCATTTTTAGCCAATTATCTGATAGGGGTAAAAAAATGATTCTTGTTAAAGCTTTAATAAAAGTTACAAATACCAAAAAACAATGAAGTAAAATATGTCATAAAAAAAGTCATAAGTGCAAAGAGAATGAAAATACAAGGTGGGGAAAGAAAGCTAAAGAAAGAATGGATTGTGTAAAATATTCCATGGTGGGATACAGATTCGTATTTACACAAAGCATATAAAGCATCGCCAAATAAAATTATATTTAGTAAGAATGTACCAACCATGAGATTCTTTGGACATATAAATCACAAACAACCACCAAACAGATGCAAAGTCTGTGGGTTCTGCATCACCCCTGGTGGTGTGTTTCTTACGGGTCTGTTTTTCAGAGATGGAAATAGACATGACTTTTTTGAGGCATGAGTCCAAACAGTAGCAAGATGCATCCTCCCATCCTTAAGAAATTAATGAGTGACAGTAAATATAAAAATTGTTTACAAATAAGATCAGTATTGGCATAATCAAAAATACATTAAAAATAGATTTTAAAAATATTTCCGAAACAAGAAGCATCCTATGTACTAGTAGCAAACTCTTTTCCGCAAGTGTGGGCCCTTGCGCAGTCAAAACAGAACCACCTGCTCACCAGAGGTTAGCGATTAACGGACTTTGGAGAACCCTAAACTACAGAAGTAAACAAACCCAGAGGGAGACAGGCTCAAGTGGGACCCTGAAATGTTCAAGTGGGAAGTAATTATGCTCAGTGAACACAGAGCCCTGACTGACAGAGGGCATGGGAGAACTGGCCATGAAGCTCACTGGGTGACCTTGGGCCAGTCACTGCCTCTCAGTCTAACCTACCTTACAGGGTTATTGTGGGGGATTAAATGAAGAGGGGAAGAACCATGTGTGCTAACTTGAGCTCCTTGGAGAAAAAGGTGGGATATAAATGAAATAAATAATAGAATTGGGGTTGGTTGGTTGGTTTTTAAGAGTCCATGGCTGGTGGGAACCCATGCTGCAGCATTTGGTTGCATGTCCCACTTGTTCTTCCTTTAGGTGATAATATCCATGCATCAAAAGAAGCATAATCTTAAAGGAGAACTTCTTCCATCTATGAGAGAAGGGAGGCTGCTTCATTTAAGATGGTGCTTGCAAAATGCAATCTTCACGCATGCCTGTTTCTGGTGGCTTTTTGAAAACAAAATCTTTTGGTTAATTAAATGGATCCACCTTTTTAGTTGATCCTAACTTTCTTTTTATCAAGGAACCAGTGCAACCTTAGGTTTTCATGCTAGAAATGAACAGGTAGTTCATAGTCTAAGCAAGAGGATTTTCCTAGGGTCTGGATGAATCCTCACTGGCAAAAGATTATCACACACCTTTCTGCTACAAAGTGGTGGAGAGCTCCAGGCTGGTTTTGCTGAGTTGGTTTCCTTTGAAGAGGAGAGCAGTGGATACACAGAGTGCTTGTTTTTAAAATCCTGTTGTTTACCGATGTACAATTGCGCAGTCACAGGCATGGGGGAGGGAGTGGGAAAATCACACAGTGGGCTTGTATCCAACTATGCCATAGAGCACGCCTGTTGGAATAAATGGATTTAAGTTAAACGTGTCTATTGATTTCAATGCTCCTCCTCTGAGTATGAGGTAAGATGAAACTAGATTGTACCCAATTTACCTGCTTCAAGAACCTGGGGTTGAAGCCAACTAAGTTTTGCTCAGAGAGAAAAAAAATTGCCCAGAGTAGATTCACTGAAATTAATGGTGTTAAGTTTGCCATGCGCATTAATGTCAGTAAATGCTATAAGTATGCCAAACACTGGATATTGCATTGACATCCTGTCCTTCCTTTAGAAAGTTTAGGGTTGTATATATGGTTCTTCCCACCTTATTCTCACAACAACCCTGTGAGGTAGATTGGATAGTGACTGACTGGTCCCAGATCACCCAGTGAGCTTCAGAGATGAGAGGTGTTTTGAACCCTAGTCTCCCAGGTTCTAATCTGGCATTTTAACCACTGCTGCTTGGCTTAGGACACAGGGTTGTGCCCATGAAGTTTTACTGGACCAAATTACCCTGCCCCAGTGTGGTTTTTAAAAAATTAAGGGTGACAATTTGTTGCTTCTTAAGAGTGCCTGAATTCTGTTTCTTGAAATGGCTGGCACACATTCCCCATTCCTGCTCTAAACACTATGGCACAGCACTTCATTTTTTTCTCCAAAAAATGATAGCTAGGCTTGTAGCCTTCATGAAACCCTCCACTCTAAGCTCCTGAGTTACTGACAAATGGTAGAGATTAGGTTCTGAGTTTCAAGGTAGAGAAAGCATTCTAGAGAATGTTGATTCTGGATTGGCTTGGTGGCGAAAACAAGAGCCCCGTCAGCCAGCAGCAATGTTCTGATGAAATCATCCAAGTGAGTCCACTTGAATGCCCTTTGTTTCTTCGGCATTCCCCCCCCCCCGCCCTGTTTCCAGGGCCCAATGCAGTGTATCACAACACTTTAATCAGTCATAGCTTCCCCCAAAGAATCCTGGGAAGTGTAGTTTGTTGAGGGTGCTGAGTGTTGTTAGGAGACCCCTAATCCCCTCACAGAGCTACAGAGTGGTTTAACAGTCAATCCTTCTTCCCAGGGAACTCTGGGAATTTTAGCTCTGTGAGGGGAAGTAGTGATTTCCAAATTCCCATCACCCTTAACTACAGCTACCAGGATTCACGGAGAGAAGGCATGGTTGTTTAAAGGTGGTGTGATGCTGCTTCAAATGTGTAGTGCAGACGGGGCCCAGTATTGATGTGTTCAAATCATTTGACATTTTCACAGAGCCTGTGAATAATCTGATTTTCCTCTTCTCTCTCCTCTCTCTCTGCTCCCAGACGTGCCTGGTCTTAAGGCTTCCTCGTACATCGAGAGCCTTCAGCGAGAAGCTCAGCGAGCACTCCAAGAAGTCATGACCTTTCTCCACCCAGAGGACCAAGGCCGCTTTGCCCATGTCCTGCTGATCTCCTCCTCCCTGAAATCCATCCCTCCTGCCCTCCTCACTGCCCTTTTCTTCCAACCGGTCATTGGGAATGCAGACATTCTGGAGCTACTGACAGAAATGATGCTGGCGAGAGAGCTCCCTTGGCCACAGTGACTCCAGTGGGGTTGGCTCCCAGGTCACCCACCACATGCTCAGCTTTGCTCCAGTTTCCAAGTGGCGGTGTGCAGTTCATCTGGATCGTGCAGTGGGAGAGAGAGCCTGCCTCCTAGTGATGACTTTTCAGACAAAGGGGCTACTGGATGGCAGATCTTAGAATACAAAGGGACGTACAGCCTTCCATTAGGGAGTGAGGCAGCCATCTCAGGCAACAAGTGGGAGGTGGGGACACAGTAAAGAACTATAGTGCTTTGTGAGCCCTTCAGGCTATCCTGTGCCCCTAAACTAGCTTGTCCCATCACCAGTGCTGAAATAAGATTCAGCTGCTAATCAAATGAGCTGCTTTGTGTGGAAAGGTGGTGGGCAAGCATTTTGTCCTTCATCTACAGCAGGAAAATGTGTTGATCTGTTCCTGATTACAGTCAGTGGTGCGGTTCAGGAATGTTAGTCTGTGGGCTCCAATGGTTTTACATGAGGCAGCCCCCTCTCTGCTTTAGATTGTATTATGTATTAAATCACTTACTTAAGAATATGATGAGCCAGTCCTGCTGTGTTTGGGAGGAGGAGCACCAGCCCAATCTGTTGAGTGGAGTCCTAGTCCACTGCCTGCAAGGTCCTGGCCTGATCATACTACCACTTGGGAGCTGCTGTTCCTGTAACCAAAGTATTTAGTTGGAACATAGTTTCTGTGACTGGTGGCTCTGTCTATTTCTCTTCACCCTTTGCTTGCCATGACATTCAGAACAGCTTTCAGAAACCGTAATTCCTCTTGCCTGCTATTCATCACACTATCCATATAAAAGCTGCCCTCCCTGATTTCGCTAGACTCCAGCCTACGCTCACATGTAGTGCCCATTTGCTCCAGTTTGTAGTACATGGGATGAGACCATCTTGGCATAAACTTTGGGTGTCAGTATTTTGTAGATGGATGCTTTCTTGTAATTTGTGTGTAAAAATAAGATGTGCTAAGTTATTATTTTTTTAAAAAAACAACACCTCAACAATGAATAAAATGTTTTTGGAGTTTGGACAATTACTGGTGTCATTTTGAAGACTGGAGGGATTTTGGCTGATCAATAGTTTAACACCAAGGGATAATAAAGATATTGTATCCAAATCTGTTTCTTATTTTAGAGCAATATATGTCTGTTCTGGAATTCACACATCATCCACAAATGTCCCACTTAGGCTGCCCAAATCCTTCACCAAATGTTCATCGGTAGAGACACCATAGTTGACTACAGCATGTTGCTTGTCCACACTACAGGACTGCAAATCAGCTCACCGTCTCCTTTTCTATCAAAAATCATAACAGAACCTGATTGCATTATAAAGTAGACCACATGTACAGCTGAAGGTGCCAGGTTCTGCATGTCTCCTGAGAGTGAGTCTGTAGTGATTATATTTCCAACAAAAGATGATATCACCATGTGCTGAGCTATCCTATATGAATCACGCCGAAAGGAGAGAGAGACTCCATGATTCTAACAGCACAGTATTGGCACAGATACATCTAAGCAGTTTGGGTGACATATCATTCATGACGGTGGCATCTAACCTATGCCCACACTCAAGCACAGGTAGAGTAGCCTAGTTATCTCCTCCCATTCCCATATTGTGTACTTTCCAGCTGTACAAGGGGGCACCCAATTTTTTCATTGTGTGTTTCCATTGCAGATGCATATTGAATGTCTCTGAAGGATACTATGTATCTATTTGACTAGTAGAATGCCAACTCGCTGCCCTTGGTACTGAATGTAACCTTACAATATACAGTCAAACCTCGGTCGCCAAACGTAATCCATCCCAGAAGCCTGTTTGGCTTCCAAAATGTTTGACAAATGAGGTGTGGCTTCCGATTAGTTGCAAGAACTTACTGCACTCAAGCAGAAGCCATGTCAGATGTTCGGCTTCTGAAAAAAATTGAAAACTGGAGCATTTACTTCCAGGTTTTCAGCGTCTGGGAGCTGAAACATTCCAAAATGGAGCCATTTGGGAGCCGAGGTTTGACTGCACAGTAGTGACCTGGAGGAACTCAATTTCAAGTTTGTAAGTGTAAAAATATGTATTTTCTAAGTGTTTGGCATATGTTTAAGCTAAAGTTCTACGCTTATTTAGCAGGCTGTACTTTCCTCCAAGCCAATAGTAGTAGCTAGATGGCATGCTTCTCTTGCTTCTCCACTAACACTATGAAAAAGAAAGTGTACCTAGTTCTAATTTATAAGCATATGCCAGGGAATGATTGGGTAGTTTCTCTGCCACTCCCTACAAAATTAAATCTGTACCCATGAATTTGATCAGTGGCAGTTTTATATTTTTAAAATGAATTATGAGATGCTCCCCCGCCATCGTGGCAGGACTCCTGTGCCTATTTATAGGCAGGAATTCAACAGCTGCACCATTTCCCATGATGAAGGTGAATGGAAGCTGCACCTGTCGAATTTCAGCCTGTCCCGCAGCTGCTAAAAAGACCAAAAAAAATTGCGTGTAGCAGCCACCATTTAGAGCTCCAATATGAAAGTTTAAAAGGTGGACGCCAGACGCCAAGAGGACCCAGCGGCTGCCACACTTCAGCCTCAAGATCATGTGGTTAACTGGAGAAGGACCATAGAGACGATGAAAAGAGCAAGCTCGAGGTCCCTCCGTCCTGACCACCAGAAGGGTGGCGCTCGCTAAGCAAAATCTCTACGGTCGCAGGCAGGATCATAGAGACTAGACAATACAACCCAAATTCCGTTCGCCCTCAGAGTGGGTCGCTCTATCCATTGGCACGTCTATGTTTGGCACGTGACTCTAACAGTGCCTAGCCTTTTTCTTCTCTGTGGTCTATGATTGGCATCGTCGGGAAAGGAGCCTGGCGTGACGCCATTACCTTGCGCCGCTGACACGGTCATACGCCGGCTCCGTCTCACGTGATGCGCTTCCGGTGTTTCAAGATGGCGGTGCCCACCACTGACAATCCTTCCCTCCAGCCTGGCGGCCGATATTGCCTTATCAGTTGCGTTCCGGCTCAGCTTCGCTCCACCGATCTCCGTTTCTACTTCAGCCAGTTCATCGAGGCCGGTGGCTTCCTCTGCTTCCATTACCGCCATCGCCCTGAACGTATAGAGGGTCCGAGCGCTCCTTCCCGGCCAGGCCCGACCTGCTGCTGCCTGGTGGCGGTGAAGCCCGGCTGGTCCCGCCGCTTGGTCCGTATGTACTCGGGAAAGCGCTGGATCGACGCGCAGGGAGAGACATTGCCCGGCCGGTGCCTTATACGAAGGGTTCGGGTTTCCTTTGACAAAGGTACTGAGAGGCAAGAAGGAGAGGTGCTGGGAGTAGTCACTGCATTTACGTTTGATACATTTGATCTTTGAATAAAAGCATTATGGATGGCACTTACTGCATTTTATAGCATTTTGGGCCCATTGATTTCATTTTCTCCCCCATTTACAAGTCAATGAGATGGTTTCTTTATGTATCTAATGAATTTGGCTTTAGCCCATTACAGTTTATGGCCATGTTAGATCTGTTAGTCTTGTAAATAGCATAAGACTTTTCATGTGTGTTTGCTGTAGTAGATGGACTCTGCTGTCATTCTGAAAAACACTTTGTTCCTTTTGGCTGGGGAGAGTAGAATGAGGCTGAAGCAAAGATATGTAAGTGGTAGACTGATGTAATACAAGTTGGTGGATTACTGCTAAGTGATTTTTCTTGCCCCTTGTGTTTATAATTTTTACAGATGCTGAAACACTCTCCTATAAGACTAAAAAGGAGCTCCGCACATCCTCAAACGAAACTTTCACTGAGGAGGATTTAAAACGGCTTCCTGAACTAAATCCACCATCTTTCATGCCCTGTGGGAATGTGGGAACTCCTTTGAGTGTCTTTTTAGATCTCATTAAAGCCTGCAGGATGCCTTCTCGTGCTATCAAGAAGCTGCGGTTGCAGTTTCCCAGAACTGGCTCTTCTCGCAGGTATGGAAATGTACCATTTTCATATGAAGAAACTGAGACTATTGTAGAAGAGGAACGAGTTTACACAGCTTCAGGAGAGGAGATAACAGAAGGGGGAGACCTATCAAGAGTGAGCACGGCCAGTCAAGGCAATGGCATGGCAGAGAGATACTTGAATGATCCAGAGAGTGAAGCAGAAGCTCAGTTGGATGATGTAAGTAGTTTTTTTTTCTAATTACACAATGTCATGTTATGTGCTTATAGCTGTTTTAGAGATGTAATTATATTATTTTGTAAGGAAGAAGGAAATGTGCTAATACTTATTCATCCTTACAAGTTGGGAAATATGTCATTTTATGAATCTGAAAACTAATGTGACCCACACAAATGAGCCTATGGACTGCATTTTGAATCAAGGTTTTCCCATTCTTCAGGGTAGCAGCTACCCATAATGATAATGTTAGGTAGAAAAGTTGTGCTGGAATTCTTGTACTCTAGCTGAAAAAAATATTTTACTCATTGAAACCTCAGAATTGATTATCTTCTGGGAGAATCAAAACTGTTAATTCTGACATTTTGTAATGTCTCCCTTATTCATTCTGCCAAGCTTGCTTTTATTCTAACTGTATAGTTCCATTAGCCCATCACACTGCAGGCTAGGTGCTTAACTGGAAAATACTTTGTAACCAAACTGAGACTGTGGCAAGGGGCTGGGGGTTGACTGGTTTAATATGAATACTAGTTCACAGCCAAGGGTGACTGCTTTGCACTAAAGGAACCTATGGTCTCTTAAGATGCAAATTGTATATACACATGCATGGTAGAGAAAAGGGTGACGGGAGGAAACTATGGTAAAAAAATGCAAGTAAGATACTAACGATAGAGATGAGATGACCAACAGATAAGATCTTGTTACTACCCAGCCTGGTTCCAGTCCCTTAAAAACTTTTTACTGCCTGTTAAAGATCTCTCCACATTTTGGATCCATTGGCAGGGTGCATAATGATAACTTCATGGCATTCATTAAACCATAAAAAATGTTTAAAAACACTGCCCATCACAATGAAGGGTCTTGGCAGAACTATAAAGGTAAAGGTAAAGGTACCCCTGCCTGTACGGGCCAGTCGTGTCCGACTCTAGGGTTGTGTGCCCATCTCACTTAAGAGGCCGGGAGCCAGCGCTGTCCGGAGACACTTCCGGGTCACGTGGCCAGCGTGACGAAGCTGCTCTGGCGAGCCTGCACCAGCGCAGCACACGGAAACGCCATTTACCTTCCCGCTATAAAGCGGTACCTATTTATCTACTTGCACTTAAGGGTGCTTTCGAACTGCTAGGTGGGCAGGAGCTGGGACCGAACGACGGGCGCTCACCCCGCCGCGGGGATTTGAACCGCCGACCATGCGATTGGCACGCCCTAGGCACTGAGGTTTTACCCACAGCGCCACCTGCGCAATAAGCTTCTAAAAACCAGTCTATTATGTTTCTGTGCTCCTAATTTCTCCGTCTCCAGAAGTTCAAGATGAGTTCTGTCTGAGCAACCCCTTAGCAGTGAGCTTATTACAACTAGGCCCAGTGAAACTGAGGAAGTGGGCAATGTGGGGAAACTGGCCTAAACCTTTGCTGTATTTGTCCCCACCCCCCCTTCTGCTACAGGATGACGATGACAGATGCGAAGAGTGGGAGCGGCATGAGGCTTTGCATGAGGATGTCACCAGCCAGGAGCGCACAAAGGAACGTTTGTTTGAGGAGGAGATTGAACTGAAGTGGGAGAAGGGGGGCTCTGGGTTGGTCTTCTACACAGATGCACAGTACTGGCAAGAAGAAGAAGAAGGAGGTAACCCTGAACAACACATCCTGGATTTGATTCTACTTTGTTGCTGAGAGCTGAGATAGAGTGTGCATCAGCGTAGTCTTTGTGAACTCATGGCCCATCTCCAGATAGACAGTTTGCAAAATCCCTCATTAATAAGACATGAAAATGTCTCGGGATTGGTCTGAGACACTTTTGTGCAAAAATATCAAGAACGTAGCCATACTGTTTCCTGGCATACTTCTTGTCTTTCTACTGGAGTCTGTCACTTCTTCCCCTGATCTCTCTTGCTATTCTGTTGTTTATTCTCCAATGGTCCAAGTCTACGGATATCTTTCCCTGCCCTCTTTCATTGACCACTGTGTGTTTTTTACTTTCCTTCCTGGTGCACGAGGCCTCCGCTCTTCCTTTATTCCCCATGTCCTAAACATAGAGCATGAAAACCCAGATGGCACTGGCAAGAATAAGTTTCTTTTCTCTGCTGCTGCTGCTACAGTAGGCCCTACAAAGAATTATCCAGGGCAGTTCTATCCTCAGTTCAGCATGTCAAGAGGACCTAATAGATTAGGTCATGGTGATTATAAGGGGAATCTTCAAAGCTACATTTGGGGTTAATAGTTATGTCTGCAGTAAGCTCTCTGAAGAGAGGGCTTTCTCCCCATCTCTAAATATTGCAGCCTTAGTGAGAGCTTGTTGTCCTGGAATAAATCCCTGTACAAAAGCCAAGAATGGGGAGGAATGATGCTGAGATTTTTAGGATGCTGAACTCTAGATCTATGTTCAGCATGCCCTGCATGGAATTCATCCTGCAGTGTTTGGGTGTGGAAGAGGAGCATGATCGTAATGTGGGAAAGGGGAGGATGATCTTAATGTAACACTCATCTGTAATGAGCCAATACATCCTGCTTGATGTCTTAACTTTTATTTTGGCAGATTTTGATGAGCAGACAGCGGATGACTGGGACGTGGACATGAGCATCTACTATGATAAAGGTACTTGAGCTAAGGGCTGTTGATCTGTGATGCAAGGAATGGACAGAACCTAAACTAGTGTCTCATTCTGTACTTGAGGCTGCTGTTAATGCATTTTGGAAGCTTTAGCTTCTGCAACTACTTGGCTTGCCTTCCTGGCCTATGTGGGGTGTCACAAACATATTGCACTAGGGCTCCAGCATTTCCACTGGCACCTATCAGTCTTCCAGACACAATTCAAGGTGCTGGGGCTTGTGTGTGTTTGTGTTAGTGATCCTGCTGTGCTGTGGTCAGATTTCAGAGAACCTGCTCTAGTATTAGTTGTAATATGACAAATCTTCATAGCTGCTATCCTTCCCCAGTCTGGGGTCTTCCAGAGGTTGGACTACAGCTCCCATCAGCCCTAATCAGTGTGGCCACAGGTTATGGGTGTTGGATATTGTAGTGCAGCATCTGAAGGGTGGCAGGTTGGCTTGCAACATCCTACATACTCCTCTACCCTGGTTGGCACCTTCCTACTCCAACCTCTGAACAGGAACCAGTTCCTTTCTTCACTACCATCCCTTCCAAGCCCTGTTTAGAATTGCCTACCTCATAATTTTGGTTTTTAAAAATAAATGACAACAAATTCACCCCAAAATGGATTCCCACTTCCTCCCAAGCAAGTGAAACTGTTCCAGATTAGTAAAATTTGCAAAGCTTTTACTTGAGCCCAGCATAACAGGTATTAGTCTCTGATTTCTCTCATTGTGATTGCTAAGGCTAAAGATGACTGAGAGGGGAAGGACTCTCTTTATGCTATCAATGCCTCTTCTTGTTTAAAAGGTTTATATGCCACTTTTCCAGGCAACTAACATAAAATCAGCAGCGCTTAGTATAACAGAAACAGTTCAATCAATCAGCCAATATTTATTTTGGTCATAGACCGGAAAGTGACAGAAACAGTTAAAAAATGTGGTGGCTATATTAAGGTGGCAAAGCTGCAATGAAGAATTCGTGGTGGTTGCTCTTGCAGTCTCTCTCTTAAAAAAGAGATTCTGGACCTATGAACATCTGAAGCTGTTTTACACTTAGGCTTTTTGTCCACCTAAGCCCAGTACTATCTGCTTGACTGGAAGTGGCTCTGTGAGGTCTCTGTTATAGCCCTTTCCCAGACCTTTTGCCTGCTCTCTTTTTAACCAGAGATGAACCTGGGCCTTCTGCATACACTTGCTCTGCCACTAAGCTCAGGTCTTCATGGGGAGACAATTATAACAGGGTTTCCATTCATTCCAGATGGTGGTGACAAGGATGCTCGGGATTTGGTCCAGATGCGGTTTGAGCAGAGACTCCGGGATGGTTTGGAAGATGGGTCTGTTCTGAGCCAACAAATTGGAAACTTTGAAAAGTACACCAAGGTAAGAATAAAAAAGGGGACGCGGGTGGCGCTGTGGGTTAAACCACAGAGCCTAGGACTTGCCGATCAGAAGGTCGGCAGTTCGAATTCCCACGACGGGGTGAGCTCCTGTTGCTCAGTCCCTGCTCCTGCCAGCCTAGCAGTTCGAAAGCACGTCAAAGTGCAAGTAGATAAATATGTACCACTCCAGCAGGAAGGTAAACGACGTTTCCATGTGCTGCTCTGGTTCGCTAGGAGCAGCTTAGTCATGCTGGCCACATGACCCGGAAGCTGTACGCCGGCTCCCTCCGCCAATAAAGCGAGATGAGCGCCGCAACCCCAGAGTCAGCCACAACTGGACCTAATGGTCAGGGGTCCCTTTACCTTTATCTAAGAATAAAAAAATGGAAGAGCATAGAAACATCTGAACTTATTTTGATTTGAAAAATCCCTTTTGTAAGAGCCTGGGGGTCTGAACTGCATTAGTGCTTTTAATACAAAGGGTAGGGGGTTGTTGTGCTGTATTGGGTCTGCTGATAATGGCCTCTTTTTTTGGAGTGCCAATCATTCTTACTCTGGTTCTGGTGCTAAGTGTCCTCAGCAATTGCTCTCTTTGTTATGGAATTGATAGAAGAATCTCTAAAGTAACATATTTTTTTCCTCCCCAGGGTATCGGCAGGAAAGTGATGGAGAGGCAAGGCTGGACTGAGGGTCTTGGGCTGGGAAGCAGCAACTCAGGGATGACTGAAGCACTGGACAACGAAGGCCAGAATCCCAAATGCAAGAGGGGCTTGGGGTAAGTAAAGAGTGTCCTTTTAAAATACATGTAGTCGAGACATTCAGCCTCTCCACCTATATAAAATAAATAAATATAATAATATTTATTTATTATTACATTTATATCCCACCTTTTGTTCAAGGAGCTCTAGGTGGCATGTATGGGTCTTCCTCTCCCCTTTTATCCTCACAGAAACCTTGTGAGATAGGTTAGGCTAAGATACACTTGTTGTGGGGGATTTGCACCTGGTTGTTTCCAGTCTTGGTTCAAAACTAACCACTACAGTACACTGGCTAAGGGAGGGTGACTAGAAATGATGGTAAGAACAGGCAGCCACCTAGGACCCAGGAACTCTGGTCTTTTCTCACCCCTTTCCCCTCCTCAACACAAAACACTGGAATTTGGGGCAAATGTTGCCTCCATGTTTTCCAGTCTGTTTTCACAGCCCTCCCATGAGCCAAACACTTCGATCATAACTCAAATGAGGAATTCCTTGTCTGCAGCATTTCAGAACGATTTCCCCATGGACATCTTTCATGAAAGCAAGAACATTTCTTCAGGCCTGTTGTGTTTTGTTTTTTAACACACCTTTGCTAGTAAGCCTCTTGCTCATTTAGCAGTTGCTCTGAGCAAAGTTTTCATCTTTTAAATTCTGATCATGGATTCCACAAACATATGGTCAAATTAAATTCCCGTTCACTCTGCTGTGTCTCTGAAGACTTTGTTTAAAGCATTTTAATCCCACTCTTCAGACAAAAAAGGCTCCCAGGGCAACTTTCAGAGGTTGATAGGACAGTCCCTGCCCTCAGATGTACCCTGTAAATGACAAAGGGACTGGAAAAGCGACTCAGTGCACTCTTTTTTAGAGTTCTTGTAATGACCTGCAGCATGTGTTTCTAGGAGAGGAGAAGTCAAAAGTTACTTGTCTTTCAGCAGAGCTAATGTAGAAGGCCTGCAGTCCCATATTCATCCCTCTTCTTTATTTTTATTTTTCATTTCATTTCAATACTGTACTGCTTTATATTTTTAAGAAAAGAATCTCAAAGCTGTTTAGAACCTACATTAAAACATCAAATAAAACAATCCAGAATAAAACATTAGAGAAGAAAGTCAAATATAAAGTAAACATTCAAAGCAACATAATTAACAGAAAACTAAAATATTATCTTAAAACATTTCACAGTAAAACATTACAAAGGAGGTCAACTACAGAATGCACATTCAATGCAGCAAAGTTAACAAAAAAACTTTAAACATTTCAAAAGGAAACATTACTAAAGGAAGTCAAATATAAAACACACTTTTAAAACAGCATAATTGACAAGCAAATAAAATATAAGTATAGAGCAAATCTGCTGCTGTTGCTTTCAATCCTTCCGGTGGTAGTTCATGGCAGGTGATGGCTGTAAAAGCTCAGGCTCGATGATCTGGTTCTGTACTAAAAGAAAGCCAAGGTAGTCTTTGGCTTCTTCAGCAGCCTCGTACCTGGAGTCAGCCAGGGCCCCACCCTCCCAGTCCACCAGTCCAGGTGAGAAAAGACCTGCATGGCAGGGAGCAGGTCTTCCAGCTTCACAGCCAAGAATGGCTGCTGTAGATGATAACTAAGGGAAGAGGAGCCTGATGGTCTTCCTGCAAAGCTGATGTAGAGGCTTTGCAGTCCAGTCTCTCTCCCTGTGCCTGATGGAACCTTTCTTTCTTTTATTGCTTTTCTATAGGTACCATGGTGAGAAGCTCCAGACTTTCACCAAGCCCAAGAAGCCTCGTGGGGACAACAACATCCTCATCTCCACCATCTATGATGACCCATATCCTGTGGATGCAGAAGAGCAGCTGCTCCGGCGCCAGCTACCAATCAGTATGAAGCATCGCCAAGATGTGGCATTTCGCCATGCCATGCATGGTGTTCATCACAATTCCAGTTCCTCATGAAGGGGCTGCTAGCCAGGAATGGCTTTCGGACTATGTTGCAGCAATGTTTGCTTTTGCAAATAAAAATTTTTTAATTAACAAAAGTTGCCAAATAAAGGGCAAAATGTTTAGTATTTTTTATTTAGGGTTTTTTTATCAATATGGGTGCATCCTGGTGCTTGTAAGCTAAATTAAAGGGTTCTTGCTTGTGTTTCTTTTGGGTTACCACAAGATCCGTGCTGCATTACAGCATGCCTAGCTACCAGTGGCCTTTTTCAAGAATAATGTCCTCCATGCTCCATTGCTCTAATGCAGAGAACCATTCCTAGCAAGAAATAGGAGAGGAAAGCAGTATTTGTAGTGGGGGGTGGGGGTGGGGGGAGTATGTTGTTGCTGTGGAGAGAAGAGAGAAGTGGGACTCTTGGATGAATAAATACAGAAATTTCCACAACTTTATCAGTGGTGCAGTTTTAACCTTACTGGACTGGGAGTAATAAAATAAACAAAGTGGTCTATAATATTTCTTAGAATTTCTTCCAAGGAAGCATACACAGTGTTCTGCCATTGTATTGTCTCAGCAACCCCATGAGACCTTAGAATCACTCCAAAAATGAGATCCATATTTGAGGAGTAATTTGAGGCCAGGCCTCCCTGCTCCAGGTCTGTGCTGGGTGGTGTTTAGCATGCTAAAGCCACCATGGATAACTTTAATGGGTTTTTATGGTTTATCCTGCCCTTCAAGTTCCTCAAAGTAGCCTGTGTGATGTGTTCTGCTGCTCTCATTTTGTCTTTGCCAACAACCCTTTGGACTTCTGTGAAGAATGTCAAGTTCTTCCATACAGCAGGTCTCACCACTATGGAACATGGTCTATGGACTAGATGTATCTCAATTCACCTTCCACTAATCAGTGCATTTCTGTGTTTTTATTGAGTTCAGCCTTGAACCAATTGCTCTGCATGCCAGAGCTCAAGATTCTCTCACCCCCACACATCTATTATGTTTATCCCACTAACATTTTGCACTTGCTCCTTGTTTGTGTGTGGAGAGAGGAACACGCAGCTGGTGCTAACTAATGAATAAAGAAAACATTGGGAAATAAGCTTGCAAAGCATAAAGAAACCCCTGCACTGTAGTATAACAAGACATATGTAGAGCTTCAGAAAACAACAGGCAAGGCTTTTACCTTGCATGATAAAATCAGGACCAATGATTAAAGCTTGCAGACAATAATTCCAATGTTGTTGTAGAAGGCAATGTCTGTATCTTTCACCCACTGCTTAATTTCTAAAATAAGAAGCGTTGGGTTTCAAATATACCCCAAAAGCCAGCTCATACTGGTCCTGGCAGCCATTTCTGCACGTGACTGACCAGGGTGATGGGAAGACATTCTACCCATGCTTAGATGCACATATTTGCATAGTTTCTGCACAGCTCCAAAGGAAATTTGGAGGTTAAGCCCTAGTGAGTGCTGGCAGAAAGTCAACCCTGCCTAAGAGCCAATGATGTAGCCATAAATAATGACAGAGTGCCTATTGCAGGGGTCTGCAATGATGTGCCCCTGGACACCTATCCTTCCCAGTGCTTTTTCTTCTGGAGGTGTTGCCTGCTTTTTCATTATGTTTCACTGGCTTTGGAGAGAGTAGATATTTTGCCTGTTTAGCGTATCAGGTTCTGAGCATCACAATCCCACCCACTCCTATGTGATGTAAGTATTTGTTGGTGCCCATGAGTGTCTTACATTTTCCAAATATGCCTCTGGTCTCAAAAAGGTGACCTATTGGAATAGAATTATTCCCACCCAATGGTCATGGAGAGTGGGGAGAAAGGGGGTTGAATACATTGAAGTGAGGATGACCCACACAGTGTTTGGAAATGCAACATATTCCCATGGCCATTTGGTTTCATCATTTTCACATTTTCCAGTAAACAAAGGATAGCAACTCCTTCCAAACTTCACGGCTTTTACTACGCGCTCTATAATGGCTGCCATGCCCCACCTCCGTCTTCAGAGAGCACGCCAAAAGCACAAGTCATGTCAACTTCTGCCCTCCAAGTGGCGCTCGCCGCTTAGTTAATAAGGACGGAATCCCCATGTTCGAAAAAATACGCGCGGAACCTTTGTTTATCACTCCTCCTTTTCCCCTCCGGATTAAAATAAGAGCGTACAGCGGAGCGGCCAAAGTTGCCTGGGCGGCGCCAAGCCCTAAAGCTACGCTGCTTGTACCATAGAAGGAAGAAATGTAGAGAAGCTCATCCTGTTGTCCGCAGAGGAACCTTCTAGGTTTGTTTCTGGGTTTTTCGGAGTGTCCATTGGGAACTGCCCGTAGAAGTCAACGGAGAATCATAGAATAGAACTTTAGAGTTGGAAGGGATCCAGGCGGTCATCTAGTCCGATCCCTGCAATGCAGGAATCATGCCCAAAGCCTAAGCCCCAATGAATCAACCCTGGGACAAAAGGAAGCAGCAAAGAGTGGAATTGTTTCTAATTTGGGGTTTATGTTGTCTGAAAAATGTTGATTTGAAAAAGGGCCCCCTTTCTCTTTGTCACCTAAATGCAGTGCTCTCTTGTATGCAGAAACCTCGTGCTCTGTTGACCTCCATGGACACACATTGCAATTTTAAATGCCACAAGAAAAAGAATGCAAAATAAATAAAATGAAGTGTAGGTTCATTTCCCACACCAAACAAGGCCTGAGTTTGCTGTGTGAGGTGGCACAGAGGCACACTGGTCACTCCATACAATCAGAGGTTTCCCCAATAAATTCAGTTGGCAGCTCTGACAGCCACCATGGAGAGGTGGGCAAAGGAGACCTGACTGAACCAGAAGTCAGTTAGACTGTTTTAATGAGTGGAGTGATTACGGCTATGGCTATCTGGGGTTTGTTGTTTTTTAGCCGATGTTCAGACTTTGTGCATCACTCTAACCTTTTTACTATCTCTGTGACAGAGAGTCAAGGTGCGTTGTTGAAAAAAGTCCGTGTTGCAGTTGCTCGGGAGGTGAGAGACGCATTTGTGCTTGCTCTGAATGCTTCTTAATTCTCCTTCTGTCCTGGCCCCCTCTGTGTCTCTGTTTATTTCTTCCCCAACTTATTTAGGGGCAGCGTAGAAGGGATTGATTATGATGGAAAGGAGCCCTCCTATCTTAACAATGCCGCCCTCTGTTCCTTTCCAGGCACAGCTCTGAGTTCTTGCCCCTCAACCACATGCACAACCCTGCAAGCCCATCCTAGCCATAAAATGCACGACTTCTGGGCTGAGGCAGTTTATTCAAATTGCCCCTCATTTCCCCACCAAGCCTCTTAGAAGTAGAGGAGCTTCACACACTCCTGCAGAAAACACCAGTATAGGGGAGTACTCTCATTCAGTACTATAACTAGGGCCAGCTTGAGATATTTTGCTGCCTGAGGCAATAGGACAAGGTGCACTCTGCCCTCTTCATGTACAGAAGTACATGAAGTACCTACTGGACTGGTAGTTGAATCTTATTTCAGTACTGGCAGGGCCAGCTCTATCATTAGGCAAAATGAGGTGGCTGCCTCAGGCAGCAGATGCTGAAGGGGCAGCATAGGCAGTCTCTCTCTCCCTCCAGCAGCTCTTCCTCCTAAGCTCTCCTGTCAATACTGCTCCTTTGGAGGACTTAACAACTGTATGTGTACTGACCGCATGGTCTGTCCTAGTCTCACTAAACTATCCTGCTGCCTCAGGTGTAGTGGTGGAAGTTACTGTGTCAACAGTGTCAGAGTAAGAATCAACTGCTTTGGGGGCCAATTGAATATTTGAATTCAGATATCTGAACATCCCTGGTCTAACACTACAATCCAGGGTAGCCATTGTGGTGCCCTCCACATCTTGCCACACTACAGCTCCCCTCATCCTTGACCATTGACCAGACTGGCTGGGTCTAATGGGAGTAGTAGTCCAACAACATCTGGAGGTCATCACATTGGCTGCCCTTGCTCTCATCACTGTATCAGTCTCTCTGTAAGTCAGTAGTTACCTGATATTACTTTAGAAATGTTTTGATTTCAGATGTACACTTCAGTTGTTGGGTTTGTTTTTTTAGAAGTGCCCTTAATTTGTGAATGTAGCAAACATGGTGTCATGGAAGTACACTCACCAATTGGATCAGAATTGGATCAGTTTTTTCCTTGATAACAAACCCATGTTTGCTTCCTAAATACTGTGTGAAATGGTCCATATATTCTGACATTTTGCTGTCTTTTTTTAGAAAAAGAACAAAAGTTGCATCATGTCGTACAGCCAGAAGCAGTCCACAGTAGCCTTTGGTCAGGCAGTGATTGGGCCTCCTGGCTCAGGAAAAACAACTTACTGTCTTGGCATGCAGGAATTTCTTTCTGCAATTGGGCGCAAAGTAGCTGTGGTGAACCTGGACCCAGCCAATGAGGGGATTCCTTACCAGTGCGCTGTGGATATCTCAGAACTTATCACCTTGGCTGATGTAATGGAGAACTTGAAACTGGGACCCAACGGTGGCTTGATCTATTGCATGGAGTATCTGGAGGCCAACTTGGACTGGCTGCAGGAGAAACTGGCCCAATTTAAGGGGCATTACTTCTTATTTGACTGCCCGGGACAAGTGGAGCTTTGCACCCATCATAGTTCATTGAGAAACATCTTTGCTCAGCTTGCTAAGTGGAACTTCAGGGTATGGTTGGTGTAGATGAGGGATGGTAGCCCTCCAAGCATTTGTATCTGGCCCTTGGGGCTCTCCCTGCACCGTACCCCCTCACCACCTCTTCTTCAAGCTTCTTTTACAGTTTTTGCTTGGCGGCAATGTGCACTTGAATTCTGATAATGTATTTTGCATGCCTGGAGAGGGAGAGGGTGGGTGAGAGTGTGTTGAAACTAGCCTAATGCACCAAGGTAAAAGTCACGCTTGCTGCTTTGTCCACTTTTGCCCCTGGCATGTGACCCAACCCCCACCCCCCAGAAGAGAATGTGACTTTCAGGCTGAAAAAGTTATCCTGCCCCTGGTGCAGAAAAATAAAACAATGTTAGAATTTTGCATGGAAAATGGGTACTGGGAGTGAGAGCATCCTTTGGTGCCAAAATGCAAGCCAGATTTGGCTCCAATGCACATTAGCTGTATGTAGCAGAGTAGCCTTTTACAACTCATTTTCCTGTGGCAAGCCATTTGAGTGAAGTGGTTCAGGCAGTTCAAACTACACAATTGCAATTCCTTTATTTCTGTGGATTGTATTGATTGCTTAGAATTGCCTGAGCTGGAAGGGGTGGTTTGTCATCTGAATAGCTTGGATGCCTCCATGCAGCTGTGTTTTTGACTGGCTACCATGCTGTAAAGATTCATGTGTGAACTGGGCTTTAGGATTAAGTGTCCTGGGCTCTTGTATTCCCTATTTCAGTTTTGATGGCCATTTACACCTTATGAAGATTTTTTAAAAAAATCTACCACCCACCATGTCTGGATTTAGCTTCAGCTGGCTTAATTGCATCCAACCTCCTATAGTGTTCAGATTCCAGAGAAGTATCAGGACTAAAGTAGCTGTATCAGATGAAAATGAAAAGGTACAGCTCTCTGATTTTAATGTAATGATGGCACTTGGCTTTAAACCTCTTAATAATCTTACACAGAGACTGTATAGGCATTGAATAGGTGGAGGCACAAGATGGAACCTCTATGTTAGGAATGAGATAACCCATTCTAGCTGTTCTCTGAACACCACTAGGTTCAACAGACTGGTCACCTCACGGAAAACAATAATAAATATCAAGTAATGATCTCTGGTTGGTTAAGGTGCAGTTGCTTCTTTTTTTGCTGCTGTCTAACTGTAGACTAAAGACCATTATTGGATAACCTCCCCCCACCCTACCCTGCTGTTTGGTAAACTGGATGGAGCGTGGTTTACATGGGGAAGGGCTTTGCTTCAGTGTAGAGCATCTGTTTTGCATGCCAATGGTTGCAGGTTCAATCCCTGGCTTCTCCGGTAGGATCATGTTCCTGCAAGATTCTGGGGTGGGGGGCTTCAATGCAGCTGGTTTATGGGCTTTTAGAGGGGAAACAGGGCTATTTCTTTACTTACTCTGTAAGCAACCCAACTTCCACTACAACGGTTTTCCTAAACCAGTACTACTGTCACTATGTAATATTACTTATATTTATCAGTTGCATCAGACAATGAGACTTTGGAAGCTTTGGCCCTCCATATGTTGTTGGACTACAAATCCTATCAGCCTCAGCCAGCATGGTCAATAATCAGGGATGTTGAGAGTTGTAGTTCAGCAACTTCTGGAAGGCCACATGAACCCCATCCCTGCCCTAAGTGTTTACTTGTCTCCAGTAATTTGTCAGGATGTCCCAGACGTGACACAAAATTGATTCTCATCCTTCTCTTGTTTCTTCTTTGCACAGCTGGCGGCTGTCCATTTAGTGGATTCTCATTACTGTACGGACCCTGGCAAGTTCATCTCCATTCTCTGCACTTCCCTCTCCACCATGTTGCACGTAGAACTACCCCACATCAACGTCCTCTCCAAAATGGACCTAATCGAGCAGTATGGGAAACTGGGTGAGAGCCATCAGTAGGGGGTCCTTGAATGAATGGCCACGGGGAAGATGGATGTAACCTTTTTCTAAGTGACAGTGAGAAGTTGTGGATAATCAGATCCTGTAGCCTGAGAGAGACCATAATTCAGTGTTAGAGCACCTGCCCTGCATGCTTGGTTACTACCTTTCCAGTGAAAAGAAACGGAGACAGCAGGTTCTGGAAAAGACAATTGCCCTCTAACCTAGAGCAAGGGAGGGGAACTTTTTTTCAGCTTGAGAGCCACATACCCTTCTAAGCAAGCTTCCAGGAGCCACATACTAGTGGTGGTTGGGCAAGAATCACAAGTGAGCAGAGCAAAGAACGTCAATTCTATCTTTGCACCATAGGATTGTTTCTGCACATACTTAAATACACACCCCATCCTCCATCCAGGTAAGCAAGAAGCATTGTCAGTTCAAGGGCCAATTCTAGTTAGGCAAAAACACACAAGGAGAGTGCAAAGCAAGGCTCTTGAGTGGTGTGACTTTGGAGAGAATGTGGCCTGGGAGATCCCCAAGGGCTCGATAAGGAGACCTGGAGAACCTCATTTGATCCCCATACCTGACATTCCCCATGCTTGCCCTAGAGAGAAGCTCCAGTTAGAGAAGACAGCTGTGGGCTAGCCCAGGAGTGCCAAACCTTTGACCCTCCAGATATTGCTGAATTACAACTCCCATCAGTCCTGGCCATTGGTCATGCTTGCTGAGGCTGATGGGAGCTGTAGTTTAGCAGTGACTGGGGGGCTAAATGTTCCCCACTGTTGGGCTAGATTCTAGTCACTACATTAGAGAAGAGAAACCCGAGACTTTCCAGGTGCTGCTGACTACAGCTCCCATCACCCTTGATCATTGGGTATACAATCTGGGGCTGGTGGGAGTTGGGAGTCCAGCAATCTCTGCAGGATCCCAGGTTCTAAAGGTAGCTCTTTATATGTTTAGGAAGCCACTTTCAAAACTTGAGTTTTGGCATTAACAGGAGACTGGGATCTCCAGTGGATTTGCCAACTCTTTAATGGCCTTTAATATATGCATAGTATATCTATTTTAGATTGTAAGCCTATGGGTAGGGAGTGATGTGATTTGGCTTTATCTGCACCTTTTGTTCCTGAATTTGCTAGAGACTTGTCTTTTTTTGTCTTGCAGCCTTCAATCTCGATTATTACACAGAGGTTCTTGATTTGTCCTATCTAGTGGATCACCTGGCTACAGATCCTTTCTTCAAGAACTACCAACACTTGAACAAGAAGCTTGTGGAAGTGATTGAAGACTACAGCTTGGTTTCCTTTGTTCCTCTCAATGTCCAGGTAGCCAAGCCAAATCAGCAGGAAAGTAATAATTGACATTTGGGGAGCAGGCAGCCATTCAGTTTAGGTTCTGTTTGGACTATTTCCTTTTCCTGCTGGAAAATGTAAACAGCGTCTTTCAGGATCTGGATTTTATAGGCTTTTCCATTTCAGATATTGGCTGTAATTTGTTGCTATAGCATTAAATAATAATGTGTTTCATTAAATTACATGAAATAAATGGCTAATATAGTTTAGTGGCTAAGACACTGGACTGGGAAGCCAGGAGTCCTCCAATTCAAATCCTGCCTTTGCCATGAGCTCACTTGGTAGATCTAAGCAAGCTTCTGTCTTTCAGACTCAGGATTTTGGTAAAGCAGGAGTGGGAAACCTGTGGCCTTCCAGATGTTGTTGGCCTCTAATTCCTATTAACCTCAGCCAGCATGGCCAATGGTCAGGGATGGTGGAAGTTGTTGTTCGCCAACATCTAGAGGGATATGGGTTCCCCACTTCCACTATAAAAAGTATTGAGATAATGTTTGTAATCGCCTTCAAATAGTGGCCACAATCCTGTGCTCAGTTACCTGGAAGGAAAGCCCTCTTTCACTCAGTGAAGCTTGCACCTGAGTATCTGATTGTGCTCTAAAGCACTATTTAATAATGCTAAGCATTGCTATATGCTAACTTTAAAATAGGAAGTTTGCTTAAATTATGTTCCAGAAAGTAAAGAAACAGATGGTAATTTGGCAATGCGTTTACATATACTAGCCAGATTGGAGAGTGATGCTGAAAGGATCAAAGAGAATTAGAAATATAGAAAGAAGCTGGACTGCTTTTATTTGTCACTAGGAAAGTAAAACTCCCACATGTATTAATATGCTATATAAATGAATATGTGTATTTACGCTCAATTATTCTGAGAAGAAAACATCTGTTAATACAGGAGCTAGGGCATGGAACTAACAGGCAAAAGATTTAAAAATACATATAAGGAAGCACCATGTGACGAGCAAGAATCATGGAAGTTTGATGGGGAATCCAGCTAAACTGGAAGTGAACAAAAAAAAGTGCTGAAAGGGAAGGGAATATTGAAAGATGATCTTTGGATTGCAGTCTGCCTCTAAGCCAGCTCACATGTGCTTCTTTCATCACCTGATGATTGCCGTACCAAGTAGCAATGTGCATGTGTGAATGAGCTACTACAATTCAAAATCCACAGCTAGAACTTCTGTATCTCATCAGACCCAAACCAGGTGGAGTCCCAAGTGATGAGAAATCACAAGTGGTGAGAAATCAAGTGATGGTACATGCCATGTGTTAACTGGACCAGTGAGTAGCATCATGGAACATGAAAGAGAAATTAATTTTGGCCCTTAACGTGTCCATTTTCCAAGGATAAGGAGAGCATGCAGCGTGTGATGCAGGCGGTGGACAAAGCCAATGGCTACTGCTTTGGAGACGCAGAGCACAGAAGCCTTCAAGCCCTGATGTCTGCAGCAGTGGGAGCCGATTTCCACTTCACATCGTATCCTTTTTTATTGTGTTCCCCTTCCCTGCTGCAAGACTGAGTCTTATTTATGCATCGCAAGGAATAATCATCTAAGGGAAATCTGCATGCCCATAACTATACTGCAGTTTTGAGGGTCACTTTACACTACCATTGGCACTGGTGATCAGATGGAAGTTTTACTTATTTATTTTATTCATTTAACAGATTTATAGTCCACCTCATAGTATAAAGCTGTTGAAGCACTGCACAGTATAAACTTATGAATCAAACCTGTACAGTGTGCATGAATAAGCCTGTTTCTACAATTCCAGCCCAGTTTCAAAGGTGTGTTGTGATTGTGGAAATAAGCTATATTTGTGTCAATATCGATAGCATTTATTTTTATTTTATTGAAGTATTTATAATCGACACTTTCATACAATCTAATCAAGGCAGTATACAGTATGCAAGATTATAATAAAATCAGTGAAAGCAACATCATTTGAAACTTCACTATAACATCAGCAAATACTGGTTGGTGAAAAAGAAAAAAATTCATATTGGAAAGGCCTGTTTAAGCAAAGCAGGACCTGTATTCAGAAGGCAGCTGAATACAGGTATGGACGATTCCTGATGAACCTCTACTGGCAGGGAGTTCCACAGGCAGGTCCTGCCACACTAAAGGCCCAGTCCCTAAGTAGAGGCCAACCGAAACTCAGAGGCATGAGGAGCCACCAGAAGTGCCCCATTGAAGGATCTCAATGACTGAAGTAGAGAGTAAGGAATCAGGCAGTCCTTAAGGGCATTTGGACCCACGTTTTTAGGGCTTTGTGAGTTAATACATGTAGAACCATGTAGGTGATACTAAGCTAATATACAGGAGCACCAAGATACACCCACCTGCATCCTGCATGTGAGATTGCCAGCATGGATGCAATCCATAAGCTGTGGTTTATTACTCCATATTCTGCATGTCCGGTCAGATATTAGGCTTTACGAGTAAGTTTCTAACCCTTAGGGCAGTAAGCAGAGCAAAAGCCCAAAGATGATGTAATACTGACTCTCTTTCTCGGAGCTTTTGAAAACAATTTCTTATGAGCTGTGGGCAAACTTTTTACCACTCTTTGATTAAAATCTGAGCACCTCTGGGGTCTGGATAAAATTGTTTTGTGGGCTGGACGTAGCCTGAGGGCTGCCGGGTAGCCACCTCTGATCGAGACAAATTGCTTCTCCCACTCTTGTTCCGTGTAGCTCAAATTCCTTTTTGTATTGTTTGCTGCTTCCGATACTGTAACTTTTGGGTGGAATGTCCTCACATTAATTGCACTGTCAGCTAGCAGTCAAACAGAGATCTGTGCTCCTTTCTTTCTCTCACACACACACTCTAAGCATCAGCCACCACTTGCTGTTTATTTCCCCTTAACTCACATACAACCAGCACATTAGCAGTCCAGGAGAAGTATGTGCAGCCACAGGAGAAAACTGTGGAGCAGGAAACCATGGACGTGTAGCATGCCTGCTGCAGCTGTAAACAGGTGGACAGCTCCTCCCATCCAAGTTGGCTTCCCATCTTTTATTAACCTGAAGCTGAAGAAGTACCCCGCAAGATATGGGCTACCAAGATGCAGCTTGGGCCTTTAGGTTCCTCCCACAAAATAACTTTCTTTCTGGTGTACTTGGGGGCCTCTGTGCTTGAGACAAAGAGGGGCCTCCCCACCAAAAAAACCAGTTAGCAGTGAGCTGCGGTATGGGCAGCTGTGAGGCACAGAAGATGACCGGTGAAATGGCAAAAGTAATAGAAGTCTGCTGCCTGAAGGAAGTTTGCACCAAAGATTGTCTTTTTTTTAATAATATATTTATTAAGATTTTTTTTAAAATATTACAATAAAAATGGAAAAAAAATAAATGACAAAAATACAAAATAAAAATAGTTAAAAACACACAGATTTTCCATTACTTATTTTCCTTTGACTTATTTCCCGGACCTCCTCATACCTCCCTTTTTTGTATTCCACTTCAATCTGTTGGTTCAGCAAATCCTTTAAAAGTAGTAATATTAAATTTTTACCTATTTATAACCCTTTTTTCATATTCCCTTAAAGCATTACAGCTGGAAACCACTTAATTACTATCCAACATCATTCTAACATTCATTAATACTACAATATTTCTGTAGATAATCTTTGAATTTCTTCCAATCTTCTTCCACCGACTCTTCTCCCTGGTCTCGGATTCTGCGAGTCATTTCTGCCAGTTCCATATAGTCCATCACCTTCATCTGCCATTCTTCCAGAGTGGGTAGATCTTGTGTCTTCCAATACTTTGCAATGAGTATTCTTGCTGCTGTTGTGGCATACATAAAAAAAGTTCTGTCCTTCTTTGGCACCAATTGGCCGACTATGCCTAGGAGAAAGGCCTCTGGTTTCTTCAAGAAGGTATGTTTAAATACCTTTTTCAGTTCATTATATATCATTTCCCAGAAAGCCTTAATCCTTGGGCACGTCCACCAAAGGTGAAAGAATGTACCTTCAGTTTCTTTACATTTCCAGCATTTATTGTCGGGCAAATGATAGATTTTTGCAAGCTTGACTGGGGTCATGTACCACCTGTATATCATTTTCATAATATTCTCTCTTAGGACATTACATGCCGTAAACTTCATACCTGTGGTCCATAACTGTTCCCAGTCAGCAAACATAATATTATGTCCAACATCTTGTGCCCATTTGATCATAGCAGATTTCACCGTTTCATCCTGAGTATTCCATTTCAACAGCAAGTTATACATTCTTGACAAATTCTTAGTTTTGGGTTCTAACAGTTCTGTTTCTAATTTTGATTTTTCCACCTGGAAGCCAATTTTCTTGTCCAAATTATATGCCTCCATTATCTGATAATAATGAAGCCAGTCTCGCACTTTATTTTTTAGTTTCTCAAAACTCTGCAGTTTCAGTCTATCTCCATCTTGTTCCAAAATTTCCCAATATTTCGGCCAATTGGCCTCCATATTGAGCCTTTTCAGAGCTTTCGCTTCCATCGGTGACAGCCGGAAGTTTGCACCAAAGATTGTCAGTGTGACTGCTCTGTTGTTGTTTTATTGAGAAGCATGGAATTCTGTTAACTTTGTACAATTGCATAGGAGCTTGACTGTCTTCTCTTCTGCGGCCGCCAATGCTCTGCCTCTGTTTGGCATTTCAAAGTGTGGAGATGACAAGCAGTGATGCTGGGCTCTAGGGACAGGAGCACCCTCAAAGCCTCCTGACTCCACTTGCTGTGACCCCCCCCCCTCTGTAAATGCCAGGTTTTGGCCTTGGCCTTCTAGGAGATTCCTTCTGGTGGAGGGACTGCTCAATCCATACACTCCGTTCCAGACTTGTATGTGTATATCCACGTCTGGTATTCTTCTTTTGGTATGAGGGTGGCTTTCTTGCCCCACCCACAATAACTGCATGGAAGAGAAACAATATACAGTGGTACCTCGGGTTACATACGCTTCAGGTTACATACGCTTCAGGTTACAGACTCCACTAACCCAGAAATAGTACCTCGGGTTAAGAACTTTGCTTCAGGATGAGAACAGAAACCGTGCTCTGGCGGCGCGGTGGCAGCGGGAGGCCCCATTAGCTAAAGTGGTGCTTCAGGTTAAGAACAGTTTCAGGTTAAGAATGGACCTCCAGAACGAATTAAGTACTTAACCCGAGGTACCACTATACACTTAAGACACCTTTAAATATATCATTATTGCTACTACTACTCCTATTTCGTTCAATTTCTTACTCTCCCTTTACCATAAGGTCTCATGGCCAGTTGCAGCCATGTAAAATTTAATATTAACAGCAACTGATAACAAGTTGCAGTCACAGAAATAGAGTGGGTCCTGTATACATTTCTCAAGTGTCAAAGGCCAGGGTAAAGAGGGTATATATTTAGCATTCAATGGAAACTATATAATGAAGGAGCCAGACACGCCTATTTTGGGAGGGAATTCTTTAACCTAGGAGCTGCCACAGAATGCTCTCTCTTGAGCCACCACTCCTACCACCAAACATTTGTGTGTGGTAGAATTACCAAGAGGGCTCTGCTGGTATTAATATTCAAAATGGGGTCTGTAGGGAAGCAGGCAGTCTTTTTTATGTATTTGTGGCCTAAATTGTACAGAAGAAGCTTTCATGGACTAGAGTCCCACTTCATGGGGTGAGGGACGGGAACAGTGAGTTCAGGTGGAAACAAAAAAGAATACAGTAATGCAAAATAAAATCTATGACAGTCATAGCAAATTTTACTAGGTAAAGCTTTAAAGAAAGCAAAAAAAAAAAAAAAGCACCACAACCACAGCAATAATTGATTATCAAACTTTGCTAAATCACTTAACACCTATAGTGGGAAAGGAAGCCATTATCACAATTCAAATCACACTGGGCCAGGAAGCTGTTACCAGGATTCAAACTGCAGGTGAAAACTGAAATTCTTGATAAGCTGTAGTGTGGTTATTGTATGCTGGAGCCTTCCTTTGGAAATAGTGTAGAGAGAATTCCAGCAGGTGCAGCTTATCTCTGTCCTGCAGCACTAATGGGTATTTTGTGGCACCTGTTACGATGCCTGTTTTTCATATCAAAGTGATTGAATGGGCATATGTGAGTTAAGGTGATCCTGCAAGTGAACAATGGCTATGTTCTACCTTCTCTGTTGGAGGCAGTATGCCTCTGAATACCAGTTGCTGGGAATCACAGGACTCTGGTCCTGCTTGCTGGCTTCCCATGGGCATCTGGTTGGCTACTGTGAGAACAGGGTGTTGGACTTTGGCTTCCTCCAGCAAGGATCTTGCAAGAGTGCTGCTGCCGGAGAAGCATCTCTTCCACTCAACTGAGTACAGCTTTACTGGTGCCACAAGGGGTTGCTGTTGCAAGGAACAGGTAGGAGGACTGCTGGGTGTGCCTAGGACTGAAACTAGTCTCCAACACAAAAATTTGCGGACAAAGATGGCCTTAGGCGTGTTCTCATGGTCTCTGTCATTATGAATTGGGATCCCCACCAAAAGGGGGGTGGGGAAGCAAGGCTGCAGAACTGTCTTGAGTCTTACTTTAAAAAATAAAAATCCGGTTGTTTGAATTACAGCATGAGACATACACAGCCTGCTGAAATCATTACAGTCACTTGTTTTATCATACCTCAAAGTGGAAAGTCAAACACTAAGCATGTAAGAACAGATACATTTGCCTTGCTAGATCTATTCTAACATGGCAGAGGCTGCAGTTTTTACAATCTCTGAGTGTTTGTTGCTGATAAGAGCCCTCTGGTCTCAATGTAGATCTTGGGTATTACTGTGGATATTTTTTAAAGCCTATATATAATCATTGTTAATGCTGTAAGCAATTTTTAGAACTCTTTATAAGTATTTGCCCAGTCGGTGAATTCTTGTCCTTGACACCAATGAGGTGAAACTGGATTAAGGACATAGTTGCTGAGGTAAACCCAATAGCTTGTCCTCAGGAGAAGCTTCTGGAAATCACTTGGCTTCCCTTTTGTCCTTACGCTTAAGATACCTCAGCTCACTAATACACTCCCAGAATGGCAGGAGGGAATTACTCTTTTCTGTTAACTCACAGCTACTTTACTGTGTGAAAAAGTTGCATAAGAAATTGGACCTGAGAGGGAAGTGTGGTAAGAAAGCAACTGGCACAAAGAAAGGACACTGAGGGGGCGGGGAGGGATGCTGAAGGAGGCCCTGTCAGGAGACATAGCAAGCCATAGTCTGTAAACCACCCTGAGGTCTTATGACGAAGGGTGGTATATAAATGTAATAAATAAAATAAAAAATTAGAAATTTTAAAAATAAATTTAAAACAGCCACAGCCAGTCCAGAGACTCAGAATGGGAAAACTATGTCTGTCCAAATGATTTTAAGCTCCAACCCCCTTTAGGTCCAGCAAGAATGGCTGGTTGTCAGGGGTGATGGGAGTTTAGTCCAAAGAAATATCTGGAGCCAGGTTCCCCATCCCTGCTGTAAACAATACTGAGTTGGCGGGCCAGTAAGTAGTCTGACTTGGTAGGAGGCAACTCCATATTGTGTTCCTGTTCTAAACTGACTGCAGCCATCTTGTACCGCTTTTGTTGGGACTCCCCAGGATCACACACGATGTTTCCTTTCCACACCAGTGGCAACTCTTTCTGAGAGGCAGCCTGCATCAACACCACGGAAATGCTATGCATGATTGAGGCTTCGGGTGGCATGCCACCTTACGTTGCATGTCCATGCCCAGGTGTGACAGCATGTGGAAACCTCTTGGCTTGGGAGCCTTATGGGGTGTGGGTGAGCATCAGAGACCAGCCCTCCAGCTCTTCCCAGCCAAGGCTCCCAAAGGTGTTGGCATCATTTGCTACCGCCGCCTCCTCTGCAAATTTCCCATTTATGGGATTTGCACATTGTTCTATAGACACAGCCCTTGCTTCAGATGGCGCTTTAGATTTCCTCCCCAAGTGCCTTTTATCTCTGCGAGAAGGCCAGGGCTCTTCCCTCTGCCAGCCTCAGCGGCAGGTTCACAGGTGTGATGGGGCAGGGCTGGACCTCAGCAGCTCTCAGCCTTTGAGCCTCCTCCATGTTCTAGTGAGCTATGCAGGGTATGTGCTGGCAGGGCCGGCACAGTCATTAGGTGGGGTGAGGCTCCTGCCTCAGACAGTATAAGCACCCGGCCTGCCTCATCACCTCCGCTGCCAGTGCCAATTTTGGCCAAGACCACACCAATATTGTGCAACATATATTGCGGTGTGCGTAAGATCTTGCCCAAAATTGATGAGATCTTGCTCAGAATTGGCAGAGGTGGGCAGCACAAATGGCAGCAACACCCCTGTGTGCTGGGCTCAGCAGCAGCTGATGTGGGCAGTAAAGTAACAGTAGCTGGCAAAGTCAAGGCCCACCAATTTAAAGACTGAAAGAGCTCAAAGAGTGGAAGACATGAAATGCAGGAAGCTTTCTTATACTGTACTGAGTCAGACCCCTGATCCATCCAGCTCAGTATTATTTTATACTGACTGACAGCGGCTGTCCAGGGTTTCAGGCAGGATTCTCTCCCAGCCCTGGAGATTCCAGGGACTGCGCTATGGCCCTTCCCAGCCCTGAAATTGGCTTCCAAGGTTCAACATCCTAGTAGCATATTAATTTAGTAGCAGGCTGGAAAGCACATGAGAAAGGGCCTTTCTTGGTGGTGTCCCCACAATTTTGGAAATCTCTTCGAATTAACATTCATTTGGGCCCATCAGTTCTTTTTGCTGTTGCTTGTCTTTAGGAGAATCTGGAAATCTAATTCAGTATCGGCTGTCTGTATGTCTGTATGCACACAGTGCTTCATACTCTGCCTAAGGTTATATTGTTTTATCTGCCTTTGTAGATTGCTTTGTGGGCTTGGTCCTGAAAAGTGACAAATATATTACTGAAATGAATTAATGAATTAATGAGCTGTAATAGACTCCTATTTCCACCTCCCTGCACTTTTAGCTGTGTTGTCATTATATTGCTGTTCCTTATCATACTTTGAATGCTGCCACTTGTTTGCCAATGTATTAAAGTTATACGTAGCTAATGTGCTTCAATGCACTTTAGTGCGGTTCAGCTAATTGTGAAATACTAGTGCCTATTCATGGGTTATTATAGTGTAATTAAAGGCTCCTGGAGAAGTGTTTGAAACAAAAAAGGCTTGACAGGATGTTTCAAAGCCATCACAATGTAAAAAGAAAAGAGTCTCTAAATCAAGACCAAATAACTGGGATCAAAGTTCTGCACTGTGATGAAACTTGCAAGGGAAGCTGTTATAACCTTAATGGGCCTCCCAAATCAGTGGTGGCCCAGCACTGGTCAGCCAGTCTTGGTATGTATCACCACTAAACTATTGCAATGTGGACAAATAAGTAAATTGAAAATGCTTGGAGACTGGGGCTAGAATGGGATAGTTGAATCTGCCCCAGATGGGAACAAGGTGGAGCTTTGCAGTTGATTTCCACCTGCTCTTGGCTTCAGTTCCCCAGCGTTCACCCTTCTGTTCCTCCTCTGCCATATCTACCACCCAAGCGGCACTCTTGGAGCAAACAGCTTTGTTTGCAAAGCGGCAGCTGTTTGGTAGCCTGTGTGATGAGATGCCCCGCTCCTCCACCCTACACAAACTGCTTAGTAACGGCTTTTTCAGCAAGCCCAATGGCCCTGTGGGCCTCTCGAGAGAAGCCGTTAGACCGGCTTTGAGGTTCTGGGTGCCCGTGGCAATTCTAGCGTTTCCTTGGCTTGCTACAGTCTGTCTTGCAATTGGGCAACTCTGCTCCAGCTGTTACCTGTTAACTCATTGAAGGCTCTCAGCATCATAGCTTTTTGAGAATCAACGTACCATCCCAAAGATGAGGCAGCTGCCTTACTCTGAGTCAGTCTAGGATTTCAGACGGGCTCCTTTCCCAGTCCTACCTGCAGAT